TTCAAAATAAGTAAGAATGATAAGAAAATGAATATTGATAAAACTAAAGACAGTATCAACTTAGAAACAAATGTTCATAATATTGCTATTCGCTTTGGGAGGGGAGTTACTCCATCAGATAATGGTGATAAGGAAACTCAGGAAACTGTTAAACAAATAATGAAAAATTAGTATTTAAAGAGTAGATTTAACATAATTGCAACATTTAGTTTTAAAAGTTTAGTTTTATAATTTAGTATATATGGAAGAACATTTAGCGAACATTGACAGTAGTTTAGAGTTGTTGTTTCCAAGATTAGAAAAAGTGTTGGAGCAAAATGAAAGCATACTGAACATCTTGAAGAGCATGAATATTAAACCTACATATAATAACAATAACAATTACCAAGAAAAAGAAGTAGATAGAGACAGTAGCGAATACAAAAATACACGAAATTTTATGTTAAAAAACTGAATGAAAAAATCATAAAAGAACCTAAACAATCAAGTCTGGATTACTATCAAGTCAAGTATAAAGAAGATACCAAGAAATACGTTTAATCATTAACTAACAAAATTTCTTGTCTCAAAAGCGGTTTGTTTATTCCTGCTACTTTGTAAGTTTTATTACCCATAATATCATATTCAATTTTATCAATATTGAATATTTTATTAGACCATTTAGAGTTATACTCCTTTCTGTCAGTGTAATTACCCCTCTTCTTTTGGAACACTTTTACCTTGTCGTTCTCCACTATTCTGGGATACTTTCTTTTGTTTTTTTCTCGTAGTTTAAGATTGACCTTTACATTTATTTCATTGTCGTCCTTGTGTGCTTCAGACGGTGTCATCCTTGTTGATGAGTGAGATGTGCTGTTATACTGTTTCAATGCCGGCGTTAGGGCGTCGGTCCATTTCATGTTGTTAAACCTAACTCTATCGTGAATTTTGTTTTTCATCGTTCTAACAAAACGCTCGGCCACATTTGCGTGGGTCTTCGTAACGATGTGGTTTATTCCTTCACTGTTGAAGAAATCCTGAACGTGATTTTTAGTTGCAAACGCTCCGTCGTCATCAGAATACACAGACATCGGATAACCCATCTTTTTAAAGCTTGCTCTCAACGCCTTCAAAACGTTCTCTCCGTCTCTTTCCTCCATCGGTATTACATCTGCTAATTTACTGAAGATGTCAATCACGACTAAAGCATACTGTGGAACGTTCTTGTCTTTTTCTAAAGGAGACATATGCATTATGTCTATTTGATATTCATATCGTGCGAATGGAGCGGTATAGGAATTAGTTCCTCTATAATTTTTGATTTGTTTATTTGGCTGTTTCTTTAAGAAAGACTTTACATCGTCTAATGTTATTGTTGGGTCTTCTTCCTTTGCCTTCTTGCGTGTCGCTTGTGTGCTTCCGAAACCCTCGTCTAAGTCGTAATAGATGTTGCTGATTATTTGGTCTTTTGTTAATCTCGCCATTATATTAAATTGTTAGAAAATATTTTTTTCAATATAAAGCCCCACCCCTTAACATAAAATAAAAAACTACTTAAAGAATATTAAGTTATTATATTAAGTGAAAATTATGGCTGAAATAAGATTAGAGGACTTGAATTTAGAAAATGTCGGAGTGATTGATGACTTATCAAATTGGACGCTATCAGACGAAGAAGATGATGATAATGACAGTTATAAAAAGGAATTAGATGAAGAGTTAAACAAAATAAAGGATTTCATCAAAAGACACCCTTTGCCACCAGTTGATGAAAACGAAGAATTCTGGAAAGATGTCATCAGCAGGTTTAGGGATAATAGTGGATTAAACTTGATGGCGATATACTCATTTGTTAGGTTTGACATCATGAAAGAAATGTATGAAAACCTAACAGATGAAGACGTCATAAAAGACTGTGGTAAAAAGTTAAACCTAGATGGACAGTTTAATGCTATGATTATTAATCACTATATCTTATCAGGAGCGATACGGAAACTAAACACAGAAGACAGTCTAGTAGATGGTCAGATGCGAATTATTGAATTCTGGTGGGATGGAATAGGTGGATGGAAAGCGTGAGTGATTCAGTTTAATGATATTATTCAATTATGATATGATTAAACCTAGTGTTTATATTAAACTGTTAGAAAATATTTTTTTCAATATAAACCCCGCCCCTCAACATAAAATAAAAACTACTTAAAGAAAAATGGATATAATATAGTAAGAGAAAAAATGACACTGTTTAATTATGATAATTGTCCTTGTAAAAATAAAAAAATGTAAGTCTGTCGTGGCACTAGCTAATATTTTACCTGTTGATGTGTGTAATCTTATAGGTGGATATATTAGAGTAACATGTTTTGATTGCTGGTATTTGATGGATGAAGAAGAACATTTTATGAGAAATAAAGACATTCCTGAAGAAGGACTGGAAAAAGCAGAACTTCAATTACAAGTTATTAAGCTAATGCAAAATAATGTTTTTACACTACTAGCAGAAAACCAATATAGTATAAAAATAAGACATTACAGAAAACACATTGACCGAGTATTTGATATACAAGAAGTTAAAGAACGGTTTAAAAATAGAAAAATGTATTATCAAGCATTAAAATCATACTGTAAGAATAATGAAAATGAAATTTGTATCATTTTAAGAAAATGCCTTAACATTGAAGATTTAAAAAAATTTAAACGTTGTGGGTTTAGCTTTCCAAACCTAAACAGTTGGTGGTCATATAGAAACAACAATTATTGTATGAGATATATTCTTAGCGAATAAATTGAAATTTACACAGACCAACTAATAAAAGGATACGAGCATTATTGTTGCGAGTATAGTATGAGTTGTTATAGTGGTTGTATCGCTGGTGAGACTGAATACGGGTCAAATTAACTTTTGTTTATTAATATTATTATCTTATAATATGATTAAACATTGTTTTATAGTCTAACAAGAAGGTTAAGACAATTAAATTAAACCTGAAACCCAGACCAGCCGACCAGCAACCCCCTAGCCAAAACTACTTAAAGAGAAAAAACCTTATATATAAAGAGAAAAAATGAGTGAGGGTAAAATGTCAGATAATAATTTTATGGTTGAGAATGGCAAAGACTAAAACAGTGTAAAGCATTAAGGGTCTTACAAAGGAAATGGAAACCGTCTATTTTTGAACGAGAAGGAGAAAGTAGATATTATGTGTTGATTAGCAATATATGTTTGAAAGGTGATAAAGCACTTTCATATGCGTTGAAACCGCCAAAAGAATTATTAAGAATGGTGAAGTATGATGAAGAAAAAAAGGTTGGAATAGAAGTTAGTTCGAAAATTATGTATAGGAATAATATTTGCAACTGTAGTTATTATGCATCAAGCAAACAGAACAAGATAAGAAGTAGAGCGTCAATACAATTTTTTTATTGAAAAAATAGTTGAAGAAATAAAGCAGACTATGAAACGAGACGAAATTATTACTATAGAACATATTACATTTGAAATTTATACATAACAGAAACAATGATTTCATGGCTTAATCATAATATTTAATTATAATATGATTAAACATTGTTTTATAATCTAACAGGAAGGTTAAGACATTTAAATTAAACCTGAAACCCAGACCAGTCGACCAGCAACCCCTAGCCAAAACTACTTAAAGAAATATTACCTTATATATTAAGAGAAAAATGAACGGTGATGGAATCAATAATTATATCGATAAAAAAGGCTATGATTGTTGTCACTTCAAAAAAGAAAATATGGAATTGTATAAATTGAGTTTACCTAATGAAATAGTGAATAATATTATTAATTATTCAATGGATGGTGAAGAAGACATATGTAAAAATTGTAAAACTTGGAGAGATAATCAATCTTTAATCAAATGTCTGTTGGGAATAAAAAGAATACATAATAGAAATGTAGAAGATGAGATTTTAATATTTCTAACTGTAAATAAAATACCACCTTACGATTATGTTAAACAGTTTCTTAAAAGCAGTAAGAAAAATATGACATGATTTACGATATATTATGGATGTTGGGTTATAGTCAAGAGAAAGGAGAAGATGTTAAAGAAAATATCAAATTATTTATTGAAAGTAAAAAGTTTAATGTTCAGAATACAGTGAGAGATGTTAATATTATTTTTAAAATGATGTATGAAAGAAGTAAGACAAACCAATTAGATTATTATCCTGAACTGAAATTATAATCATAATATAATAATAACATGTAAAATCTTATATGTTATAATTATACTGAACTTTTAACCTATAAATGAAAATTAATGAGAAAATACTAACAAAACAAATACACCACCAACATCCCAGAACTTGATAACTACTAAAAGGGCCAACTCTTTCAAATGAAAAAAATGTCGGCCCCCAGCCCAACAATGAATAAGAGGGGCAATTACCCAAATGATTACCTTAACGAAAACGATAAATAAGCTCCCTAAAAACCCTCTTTTAAAAACGAATAAGGGGGAACACAGATTTGAGATGAACATAAAAACCAGAACAGGCAACCATCAACAGGCCACCCCCCGGGCCCCCCCTTTTCTCCATTTTTTTGGGGGCCCCCGTAAAGAGTTCTGACCCCCCCCTGCCCTTGTTGCAGGGAAACCGTCAAACCCTTGACATGGTTTATACACTGTCTTGTAAGTTTATAAACTCTTTGCTGTTGTTACTCAACATGACTTGTCACCCACAAAAAATATGCAGCAACAGCACACTTCTTGCGTATTTTTGCTCACACGCCCTGTCTTTTAAAATAAGAGGGTTTTGTACATTTTGAAGCGCAAAGGTAGGCCCTGGGGGGGGGGGGGTGAGCATATATATATATATATATGTATATATATATATATATATTGCTTAGACTGTACAACAGCTCAACGCATTTCCACTTGGCCTCGTTCCAGTACTTTTCTGTTGTGCGTAGCATGGTGGTATTCGGATGCAGTGCTCTAGGGAAGCAAATCCATACGGAGAACGATTGAAGCCATGGCATCAATTTCAGCCGCTCAAGCAAGAAGACGTCAGGCAGCGCGCCTAGCCTTTCTTCGTTGCACTTGTTGCCATGGCCTACCAGTACCCCGCAGGGGCCATGCCTCAGCCTGTGACCTACACGTCCGGGGCGCCGTACGGTGCGGACTACTCGGGCTACTCCATGCCGCAAAGCATGCCGATGCCTGCAATGCCTGCCGCCTTGGACCACGCGATGGGCAAGTGGTTTGCCCCTGGAGAGGCGCTGCCCCCGGGTTTTGTGGTGACCTCCCACCCTGAGGGCCACACAGCTCCCCAGCAGAATCACTCCATGTCGGACAAGGCCCGTGAGAGCTTCGTGATCAGTGCCGGTGATGCGGCAGCAGCGGTTGGCTCCAGCATGGCCAGGGCAGGAGCGTCCGCTTCGTCCTCTCTCAAGAAGTCCAAGAAGAGCAAGAAGAAGAAGAGCTCCGGCTGCTGCTGAGCCGAGCAGGCAGGCTTAGGCGGATATCGTTGAAATTACAAGCTCTGAGATCTGGCGGAGGCGTCAGCTCTCAGAGTCCAAGGTCAACATGGACCATCCTTTGGGAATCATTTCTGCTAATGCCAAATGGAGCATCACGGCGATGGCTGAGAATGCGATGCGAGAAAAAGGAAGAAGGAAAAAACAACAATGACCGCGTTTGAGCATCCCTGGTCCATATGCGGAATGTGCCGTGGCACGGTTTGCATTGACTACTGTGAAAAGACACCTTGTTTCTCACTTGGCCTAGTTTTACTACTCCTGGACGGCGCAAATGGCTTATATAGCTGGTATACTGGCGGGTACAATATTCAGATGTTTTTTTTTTTTTCTGGTAGCAAGACCGCACAGAGACCTCTTGAAAACATTGCATCAGCTCAAACAAGAGACATGTGTTTTGACAAGTGTCAGAAGTTGACCCCATGGGCTGCGTTTGAGCCGCTCAAGTGAGAAGACATCACATTGGCAGCGTGCCTATCCTTCCCTTTGTTGCACTTGTTGCCATGGCCTACCAGTACCCCGCAGGGGCCATGCCTCAGCCTGTGACCTACACGTCCGGAGCGCCGTACGGTGCGGACTACTCGGGCTACTCCATGCCGCAAAGCATGCCGATGCCTGCAATGCCTGCCGCCTTGGACCACGCGATGGGCAAGTGGTTTGCTCCTGGAGAGGCGCTGCCCCCGGGTTTTGTGGTGACCTCCCACCCTGAGGGCCACACAGCTCCCCAGCAGAATCATTCCATGTCGGACAAGGCCCGTGAGAGCTTCGTGATCAGTGCCGGTGATGCGGCCGCAGCGGTTGGCTCCAGCATGGCCAGGGCAGGAGCGTCCGCTTCGTCCTCTCTCAAGAAGTCCAAGAAGAGCAAGAAGAAGAAGAGCTCCGGCTGCTGCTGAGCCGAGCAGGCAGGCTTAGGCGGATATCAGTGAAATTACAAGCTCTCAGATCTGGCGGAGGCGTCGGCTCTCAGAGTCCAAGGTCAACATGGACCATCCTTTGGGAATAATTTCTGCTAATGCCAAATGGAGCATCACAGCGATGGCTGTGAATGCGATGCGAAAATAGGCAAGATCCTATTGGCGTTCCACTTGCAACAGTACCATTGACAAGCTGACACACATTTATCATCCCAACGGCAACACATCATATATTTGCATGAATCCAGTTGCTTTGTTGTGTCTAACACATTCGATGCTTTTGCACAGCCTGGTGCAGTGCGTTTTGTATAAGGTAAGACACACTGCAGATAAACTCTTTGAATCCAGCAGCAGTTATTTAACAAAACACACAGATGTCTCAAAAATCGCCCATTTGCTGTGTTTGAGCCGCTCAAGTGAGAAGACATCACATTGGCAGCGCGCCAATCCTCTCTTTGTTGCACTTGTTGCCATGGCCTACCAGTATCCCGCAGGGGCCATGCCTCAGCCTGTGACCTACACGTCCGGGGCGCCGTACGGTGCGGACTACTCGGGCTACTCCATGCCGCAAAGCATGCCGATGCCTGCAATGCCTGCCGCCTTGGACCACGCGATGGGCAAGTGGTTTGCCCCTGGAGAGGCGCTGCCACCGGGTTTTGTGGTGACCTCCCACCCTGAGGGCCACACAGCTCCCCAGCAGAATCACTCCATGTCGGACAAGGCCCGTGAGAGCTTCGTGATCAGTGCCGGTGATGCGGCAGCAGCGGTTGGTTCCAGCATGGCCAGGGCAGGAGCGTCCGCTTCGTCCTCTCTCAAGAAGTCCAAGAAGAGCAAGAAGAAGAAGAGCTCCGGCTGCTGCTGAGCCGAGCAGGCAGGCTTAGGCGGATATCAGTGAAATTACAAGCTCTGAGATCTGGCGGAGGCGTCGGCTCTCAGAGTCCAAGGTCAACATGGACCATCCTTTGGGAATCATTTCTGCTAATGCCAACTGGAGCATCATAGTGATGGCTGTGAATGCGATGCGAAAACAGCCAAGACCCTGTTTGCACGTCCCTGGTCCATTCTCGGGATGTGCCATAGATGGCTAGCAGCCAGCCTGTTTTTACCATTCTTGCGCTGGGCAGATTGCTGGTATATTGGTGGCTAGATATTGACATTTGCTAATTTAATACCTTAATTTTCGAACAGCAAGACCACACTGACACCTTTTGAAATCATTGCATCACCCTAAAGAAACGGATCTGTGTTTTGACAAGTGTCAGAAGTCGAGCATGGGTTGTGTTTGAGCCGCTCAAGTGAAAAGACAACAGATTGGCAGCGCGCCTATCCTTCCCTTTGTTGCACTTGTTGCCATGGCCTACCAGTATCCCGCAGGGGCCATGCCTCAGCCTGTGACCTACACGTCCGGGGCGCCGTACGGTGCGGACTACTCGGGCTACTCCATGCCGCAAAGCATGCCGATGCCTGCAATGCCTGCCGCCTTGGACCACGCGATGGGCAAGTGGTTTGCCCCTGGAGAGGTGCTGCCACCGGGTTTTGTGGTGACCTCCCACCCTGAGGGCCACACAGCTCCCCAGCAGAATCACTCCATGTCGGACAAGGCCCGTGAGAGCTTCGTGATCAGTGCCGGTGATGCGGCAGCAGCGGTTGGTTCCAGCATGGCCAGGGCAGGAGCGTCCGCTTCGTCCTCTCTCAAGAAGTCCAAGAAGAGCAAGAAGAAGAAGAGCTCCGGCTGCTGCTGAGCCGAGCAGGCAGGCTTAGGCGGATATCAGTGAAATTACAAGCTCTGAGATCTGGCGGAGGCGTCGGCTCTCAGAGTCCAAGGTCAACATGGACCATCCTTTGGGATTCATTTCTGCTAATGCCAAATGGAGCATCATAGTGATGGCTGTGAATGCGATGCGAAAACAGCCAAGACCCTGTTTGCGCGTCCCTGGTCCATTCTCGGGATGTGCCATAGATGGCTAGCAGCCAGCCTGTTTTTACCATTCTTGCGCTGGGCAGATTGCTGGTATATTGGTGGATAGATATTGACATTTGCTAATTTAATACGGTAATTTTCGAACAGCAAGACCACACTGACACCTTTTGAAATCATTGCATCACCCTAAAGAAACGGATCTGTGTTTTGACAAGTGTCAGAAGTCGAGCATGGGTTGTGTTTGAGCCGCTCAAGTGAGAAGACAACAGATTGGCAGCGCGCCTATCCTTCCCTTTGTTGCACTTGTTGCCATGGCCTACCAGTATCCCGCAGGGGCCATGCCTCAGCCTGTGACCTACACGTCCGGGGCGCCGTACGGTGCGGACTACTCGGGCTACTCCATGCCGCAAAGCATGCCGATGCCTGCAATGCCTGCCGCCTTGGACCACGCGATGGGCAAGTGGTTTGCCCCTGGAGAGGCGCTGCCACCGGGTTTTGTGGTGACCTCCCACCCTGAGGGCCACACAGCTCCCCAGCAGAATCACTCCATGTCGGACAAGGCCCGTGAGAGCTTCGTGATCAGTGCCGGTGATGCGGCAGCAGCGGTTGGTTCCAGCATGGCCAGGGCAGGAGCGTCCGCTTCGTCCTCTCTCAAGAAGTCCAAGAAGAGCAAGAAGAAGAAGAGCTCCGGCTGCTGCTGAGCCGAGCAGGCAGGCTTAGGCGGATATCAGTGAAATTACAAGCTCTGAGATCTGGCGGAGGCGTCGGCTCTCAGAGTCCAAGGTCAACATGGACCATCCTTTGGGAATCATTTCTGCTAATGCCACATGGAGCATCATAGTGATGGCTGTGAATGCGAAAAAAAACCAAGTCTGAGTTCGTTCATTTACTAGTGCTACGAAGCATTGAGCATCAGTGACCAAGCAGTGATTGTGGTTGCTTTATCATTTTTTGTTTTGTGTGTACGTTTTCCCGATGTGTGATGTGTTAGATTTATAGCTTAGCAAGTACTCAGTGCGTCAGTGTTGTAGTCTTTCCTGCTTTGTGGGTCTCCCGACTTTGACTCATGGACACTTATGCAATGGAGATGGAGTTGTTGAGCTGTTGCTGTTGGGGTCGTCATGATGCGTGATTCCAACTTAGTGTTGGGCAAATTTGAGATCGGGACAAACACTACAATTATTCACTGTTCTTGGCATTTGTTTTTGTTTTTTTTGTTTTTTGGTTCTGTTCATTTTTACTGAGGGTCTGCAAAAAACAAAGTTTTTCGCTACCAACCAAGAGTAGAGATGAATTGCTCCCGCCTCAACCCCCCTACCCCCTACCCCATGGTATTATCCCATCCCCCCTCACTGGCGCGGGTTGATTGTAGGGCTCGCTCGGCTTTGTTGATTATTCGTTTGGTCTTAGTTTTGTCCAAACAGCAATTCAAGAGCCCGGCAGTCGATCATTGGCTGTGTTTGAGCAGCTCAAGTGAGAAGACATCAGGCAGCGCTCCTAGCCTTTCTTCGTTGCACTTGTTGCCATGGCCTACCAGTACCCCGCAGGGGCCATGCCTCAGCCTGTGACCTACACGTCCGGGGCGCCGTACGGTGCGGACTACTCGGGCTACTCCATGCCGCAAAGCATGCCGATGCCTGCAATGCCTGCCGCCTTGGACCACGCGATGGGCAAGTGGTTTGCCCCTGGAGAGGCGCTGCCACCGGGTTTTGTCGTGACCTCCCACCCTGAGGGCCACACAGCTCCCCAGCAGAATCACTCCATGTCGGACAAGGCCCGTGAGAGCTTCGTGATCAGTGCCGGTGATGCGGCAGCAGCGGTTGGTTCCAGCATGGCCAGGGCAGGAGCGTCCGCTTCGTCCTCTCTCAAGAAGTCCAAGAAGAGCAAGAAGAAGAAGAGCTCCGGCTGCTGCTGAGCCGAGCAGGCAGGCTTAGGCGGATATCAGTGAAATTACAAGCTCTGAGATCTGGCGGAGGCGTCGGCTCTCAGAGTCCAAGGTCAATAACATGGACCATCCTTCGGGACTCATTTCTGCTAATGCCAAATGGTGCATCACAGTGATGGCTGTGAATGCGATGCGAACAAAAAGCCAAGTCTGAGTTCGTTTGTTTACTAGTGCTACGAAGCATTGAGCATCAGTGACCAAACATTGATTGTGGATGCTTTATTGTCAGTGGTTTGTGCGTGTTCGCGTTCCCTATGCATGCATGTGTGATATATGCGGCGTATAGCTCAGTAAGTACTTTGCATGCGTGATTCCAACTTAGTGTTGGGCAAATCTCAGATCGGGACAAACACTACAATTGCTCCCACCTCAACCCCCCTACTCCCTAGCCCAAACCCCCCTACTCCCTAGCCCATGGTGTTATCCCGCAGCTGGTCATGCCCCCCTCACTAGTGCTGGCTGAATGTAGGGCTCGCTGGCCTTGGTGTATTTTTTTGTTTGGTCTTAGTTTTGTCCAAACAGCAATTCAAGAGCCCGGCAGTCGATCATTGGCTGTGCTTGAGCCGCTCAAGTGAGAAGACATCAGATTGGCAGCGCGCCTGTCCTTTCTTTGTTGCACTTGTTGCCATGGCCTACCAGTACCCCGCAGGGGCCATGCCTCAGCCTGTGACCTACACGTCCGGGGCGCCGTACGGTGCGGACTACTCGGGTTACTCGGCCCCAGGGTACTCCATGCCGCCAAGCATGCCGATGCCTGCAATGCCTGCCGCCTTGGACCACGCGATGGGCAAGTGGTTTGCCCCTGGAGAGGCGCTGCCACCGGGTTTTATGGTGACCTCCCACCCTGAGGGCCACACAGCTCCCCAGCAGAATCACTCCATGTCGGACAAGGCCCGTGAGAGCTTCGTGATCAGTGCCGGTGATGCGGCAGCAGCGGTTGGTTCCAGCATGGCCAGGGCAGGAGCGTCCGCTTCGTCCTCTCTCAAGAAGTCCAAGAAGAGCAAGAAGAAGAAGAGCTCCGGCTGCTGCTGAGCCGAGCAGGCAGGCTTAGGCGGATATCAGTGAAATTACAAGCTCTGAGACCTGGCGGAGGCGTCGGCTCTCAGAGTCCAAGGTCAATAACATGGACCAGACCATCCTTCGGGACTCACTTTTGCTAATGCCAAACGGAGCATCACAGCTTACAATGCCTGTGACCGCTGACATCCAGAAAGAGACAGGTCTTCGCAGAGTGCTTGCAGTCTTTTGGCGCAAGGCTTGTAGACTGGGATGGTCGAGGGCTTCCAAAAAGGAACCCACCATTTTGATTTGTTTTGGGTAATGTCGGAGTGGATACCGTAAGGACTCCTGATGAGCTTTCCCTGCTGGCATCAGCTTTGTTCGGCACACATACCCACCAGAAACTGCGTGTTGGCCCGCTTCCGATAGGCCCTTCTTGAGACACAGATGTGTTGCAAGCAAAACCGATTTGGGGCACTTAGAGGAGCTGGTTCTATCTGTCTTGATGGAGGTGGTGGGAAGGCCCTATATGAGCAACAGAGAACATGACCAGGCGAGACACGCTCATACACCCACAACTACAGCCTCAACCACTTCTACAGGACAGGCACCCACCCATGCCCATACCCACACACCGACACACACACACACACTCATCACAAGCAAGCATGAAGGAACGCACGCACTCGAGCACCCGCGCAGATGCAAGTCCATCGCAGAGGTCCAGAATGAAATTCATGAACCGAATGGTTGTCCCCACTCTCCACAAAGATTCCTTAAATGGAACCTCACAGTCCAGGGTGATTTCCTTTGGCTTCTTAAAGTAGACCCAAGAGGGGTACCCTCAACACAACCAAACATGATTTCCAGGGGATGGGTTGCAGGGGATTTTGGCGATTCGTGTTGCCCTCGAGATCGAATCGCCACGTGGGGTCGCGCCTTGGCTTCGCGAATGTGGTGTTTTCCAGAGGCTTTGTATCCGTTTTTAGGTATCCGCATTTCGGGGGTCCCCGGTTTTGTCACAGAAGCCCGCTTGTTTTGAGCTTGTCTGAGAGGTTGAAGGCTCGTAAAAGAGGCTCCAGGATTTGAGCCGGGAAGAATCGCACAGATGGCCGCTTGCGGGAAGACGTTGGAACAAGAACACAAATACATGTGTAGCAAGTACAATTCTCTTGTATTGTTGCTGTTCCAATTGTTTTTCATGTGCTGGGCATTTTCTCTCAAGCCAGCTTGCCAGCTTTGGTGAATTCCATTGCGTGGCATTGGTTTGTTGCCATGGCCTTTCGTTTCCCGAAGCTGGATGCAGGTGCCATGTTTGCGGGTGCCGTCTACACGACAGGCTACTCGTCGACCTACCCAGGCTACTCCATGCCGCAAAGCCCAGCGTACTCCATGCCGCAAAGCATGCCGATGCCTGCAACGCCTGCCGCCTTGGACCACGCACAGGGCAAGTGGTTTGCCCCTGGAGAGGCGCTGCCACCGGGTTTTGTGGTGACCTCCCACCCTGAGGGCCACACAGCTCCCCAGCAGCACCACTCCATGTCGAACAAGGCATGGGACAGCTTCGTGAGCACCGGGGATGCGGCAGCAGCGGTTGGCTCCGTGGCCAGGACGGGTGCATCTGCTTCGTCCTCTCTGAAGAAGTCCAAGAAGAGCAAGAAGAAGAAGAGCTCCGGCTGCTGCTGAGCCGCGTAGGCGGGCTTAGGCGGTCAGTGAAGTTGTCGACTCTGAGACCTGGCGCAGGCGTCGGCTCTCAGAGTCCAAAGTGAACATGACAACATGGACCATGTTGCGCACATCATTTCTGCTAATGACCAATGCAGCACAGTGATGGCTGTGCATGCAAAACACGTGCCCATACCGGCCTCCCTTGTGTGTCCCTTTGTGGGATTCTTCACTGGTATGGCAGATCCATTCATGCAAACAGGCCCCTTTGGGTGTTTTTGCGTGAGCCAAAGTGTCGGCTCTTGGGCCTTTTGGATCACTTTTGTTTTTTTCTTCGTGTCATGCCGGGAGATCGGAGAACGGATAAGCAAGCTGGCCCTGGACCCCCCAGAGCACGATTTCGGACCCGGTCGCTGGTTTTGTGGGCCCAGAACAGTTTCCTGGAAAGGGTCAAGACCAGTTCCAAGAAAACTTAAGTGGCAAACTCTGGTCTGAACATGTTTCAGGGTTGCTCCGACACTGAAAACCATGAGGCCATTGATGTAGGGTCCTTTGGTTTTCCTTTGCTATCCCACATTCCGAGTGGGTCATCTAATGACGAAACAAACAACTACTAACCCTTCCTGTAGACGGCGGGAGTAGCTATGACTCTCTTAAGGTAGCCAAATGCCTCGTCATCCAATTAGTGACGCGCATGAATGGATGAACGAGATTCCCACTGTCTAGCAAAAATCATAGCCAAGGAAAAACCTTGTGCCCATAGGTGTCCTTTTCAGGTTAGTTTGGTTAGAAGTAGATGGCTTCTCCTTTGGATTGCCTCTGCCGTGCCCTTAGGCTTTTGGACTTTCAGGGTTTAATGGAGGTGTTCATTTCGGCCTGTCAATGGACAGGCCGGCAATCTAACCGGGCAGCATGGAGGTCGCTAAAACTTAAAAACTTTTCGCAGGGGATCTGACGGTCGCGGGTTCGCTTCGGTCCTAGTTGCTGGCTCGCTTCGGTCCTAGTTTTCATCTCGCTTCGGTCCTAGTTTCCTTACTCGCTTCGGTCCTAGTTTCTTCGCCGTTGACTATGGTGTTTGAGAGGCAACATCCTTGTCGACCCCACCCCACCCGGCATGTCTTGTTGTTAGATGTTTGAGAGGCAACATCCTTGTCGACCCCACCCCGCCCGGCATGTCTTGTTGTTAGGTGTTTGAGAGGCAACATCCTTGTCGACCCCACCCCGCCCGGCATGTCTTGTTGTTAGGTGTTTGAGAGGCAACATCCTTGTCGACCCCACCCCGCCCGGCATGTCTTGTTGTTAGGTGTTTGAGAGGCAACATCCTTGTCGACCCCACCCCGCCCAGCATGTCTTGCTGTTAGGTGTTTGAGAGGCAACATCCTTGTCGACCCCACCCCACCCGGCAGTTCTTGTTGTTAGGTGTTTGAGAGGCAACACCCTTGTCGACCCCACCCCACGCGGCATGTCTTGTTGTTAGGTGTTTGAGAGGCAACACCCTTTGCGTGTGTCCTGTTGTTAGTGCTCAAAAAGCTATCTTCCACTGCGCCTGAAGTGATCCAAAAATTGCGACAGAAGTGATCCGCAAATGCTCAAACTACGACCAAAGTGAGTGGATTTCAGCTGCGACCAAAGTGATCCAAAAACTGCGACCAAAGTGACCCCCCCGCCGGATCTGACAGCCCAGTATTTGCCCTAGAAGGACCCCTCGCCTTGCGCCTTTGCCATGATTGTTGTTGGGAGACATTTGTGGTTTAGTGGTTGAAATCCAACCACTTAACTGCTAACATTTTCAGTTTTGCTCCCCAAACCCAACGTCAACCAAGTTGCTGCGGCTCGGCGTCCGCCGATTTGGGTCCGAGCTCCGGGCGCCGGGGCTCTCTCCGGGGATCGCTCGCTCCGGGGATCGCTCGGGGCCTCCAATGCAGTGCAGGTCTTAGACTGAGCCAGGAGCGTGCGTCTTGTTGGGGAAGGTGTGCCGCCTTCCTTTTCCTTTGTCCTTTTTTGTTGTTGGTTTGTTTGTTTTTTTGTTGGGGGCGGGGGGGGTGGTTGGTTTAACGGGGAGTTAGAGGCGCACCATGGGCACCACAGAAAAAGTTGGAAGGTATGGCCTTTCTCTCAGTTGTTCAAAGTCGACCTGATCTGACCTTTTTTTCTTTTCGCTGTTTGATCCATTTCTAGTGGCCCCAAAAGGTAACCTTTTAGTTCTGGGTCCTTCGAGGCAAGTGAGTTTGGGGGGGTTGGTTGACAGGGTAGAGGGACACCTCCGAATTTGAGATTGAATCCGCGGCTTTCCGGAATTCTCAGAGATGGAATGGGCTTAAAACCTTTAAGCAAAAAAAATTACACCGGCATAGACCCCAGATAGCAATGATTGCACACCAGCACCTCCAACAGCACCCCCCGAAGAGCGTCACAAACAGCACCCGGCCGTCAATCGAGCACCCGCGCCATCACTAGCACTTCCAACAGCACCCCAAACAGCATCCCAAAACAGCACCTGCAGCAGCACCCCAAACTGCATGCCCCCTGCACCCTGCCGTCAATCTCGCAAAAAAGTGCCTGCACCGTCACCCTAAGAGCCCCCCAAACAGCACCCCCCCAAACACCCAGCTGCACCAGCGCCCCAAGCTGCATGCCCCCTTGCACCCTACCGTCAAGATGCAAAAATGTGCCTGCACCGTCACCTGCATGCCCGATAGCACCCGGGCGTCAATATCGCAAATTGCGCCCGCACCGTCATTAGCACCTCAAACAGCTCCCCAAACAGCATCCCAAAAACACCACCAGCACCAGCACCCCAAACTGCATGCCCCCGTGCACCCTACCGTCAAGATGCAAAAACACGCGTGCACCCCCAAACTGCATGCCCCCTAGCACCCTACCGTCTATCTTGAAAAGATGCGCCCGCACTGCCATCAGCACCTCAAACAGCACCCAATCCGCCAAAACCAGCACCCCAAACTGCACGCCCCTTAGCACCAGCCCATCAATCTCGCAAATCACTTCCCCCTCTTTATTAGAAGTTAGAACCCCTATAGCTTTCAGCTACCTGGGGAAAAACACCCGTTTCGGGGTCCTGAACGAGAACTGTTCGCCCAATTCCAAGCTTTTGAAATTGGAGGAGTGGGGGGATGTACTGCCGCTAGGTCCCCCAGCAGTGCCCTGTTACCAACTTTTTTGGGGGAGGGTTCCCCTACTAAAATAGACTACAGAAAACAGGGTACCCTTATTCTAGCCTCTCTACTGGAGGACCTAGGCCATACACTCCCTGTAAGCTCGGGTAGCGGTATATAAGGCCAGATATCAGGGGCCCCTGCAGGGGCAAGTGGTTGAGCTCTTTGATTGTGACAGCTGGCAGTCTGGGTGAAAGATGTGAAAGAGCTGTGGACCTCCCTTGTGCATTCTTTGTTTTCCCCGGACCGGCGATTTTGAGCAAAAGCCATGGTAGGAGAACTTGCAAAAGCCGCGAAATCGAATGCTTGATCCTGTTTGCATTCCGTTGGGCGCCTGCAGGCCCACATGATTCGGTGCATCTTCTGAGAAGAGGATCCCACAAATGGCTGGTTTCCCTTTCGGTTTCCCATCACACCCACACAAACAGGTCCCCCCCCCAAAAAAAACAAAAACAAAAACGCCAATAAGACACACACACACACACCCATTGCTAGAAATGCACTGGATGCTTTTGTGGATTCCACAGTTCCACCCCCCCGAATCAAGATCGATCCGGGCCTTTTTTCCTGCGCTCAACAAAAATCGGCTGGCTGAGAATGGCCGGGGGATTCCTCCGGCGCTGGGCAGAAATTCCTCCTGCCTTCCGGCTGGTCCGGCTGGTCCTTCGATACCCATGGAGAGCCACACCCACTTGACACCAGATAGATGTTTGGTCAAAAAACAGGCGTTTATGCTGCTGAGGTCCTAGTTGTTGATGGATTTGTGTGTGTGTGTTTGTTGATGGCACTGGCCCACTTCCTTAAGATTCGGGACTTGATCGTTTTAGTGGCAAACTAGCAGTTTGGTTTTATGGGCCATCGAATCACATCGGAAGCGAGATGGTTATCAAAAGGAAAGCCAACTTGAGGGAACTGGGCCCTGACCCCAGAGTAGTAACTCACTTGCACCAAGCCGACCTTTTGACCTGTTGGTTTCCTATGTTAGTCAAGGGCCAAAAAGGTTAGCCTTTTTCCCCCGGCCTTGATTGGGCACGTGAGATAAACACCTGGTTGATTGCTATGTGCCCCCTTTACTAGGGATTCATGACATTTGAGGGGGTCAACTCCGCGTCCATGGGGTGTGACCTCAAATTGGTCCTTTCGAAGTCAAATTTGAACCATCCAAAACCGCGGAGGAACGCTAGCTAGGGACCATGTCTGTTTTGTTTTTTAGGGGACCCCGCAAAATGATGGTTTTCCAGTTGGTTTGCCTTGAACCCAACCAACGCAAATTGGGGGTTGATGAATATTCCATGTAGGGCCCCAAATGACCATGGGTGACTTCCCCCTTCAAATATCGAATCTTCTTGGGGTTTCCCCCAATGGTCATCCCATGTAGAGGACCTTTTGATCAACCCCCACATGGTTCCGGGTAGACCATGTTGATACCAAGCGTTGCTACCATTATAGGTCAACTTCCCTTGGTAGGATGATGTTTTGAGGGGAACTGTGCACAACACCCTGTGCAAGGATGATGTTGTCGAGTCCCACAGATACTGTGCATGGATGAAATCCCTTTCGCACCACCCAAGAAACCTTGGAATGATTCGATTTCCCCTGTAAATACCAGCAACCAATGGTTTCAACCATGGGTTTCTTAGGTGGTGCGAAATGGATTTCGCAACCATCCGCGGTGTCATCGGATTCTTCTCTCGTTTGTTTGCTTCATTTTGGGGCCTCAATTACGTCAAAAGCTCATAGCTCAGGCAGATGGGCCGAAGCTAGGGCAAGGCAGTGGGGTGTGGAGTGGCGGGAGCGGCACTGACTGAATTGCATTCGGATTCCTGTTTGGAATCAGGGAATCCCAACAGCTGTTCTTTTTTTCCATCCAAAATCCCAAGTACCTGTTTTGGGGTCGGCTTCAAATGGACAGGCACATGTTTTGGCCCCCCCTATTTTGACGCACATCTATGCGGATGGTAGCTGTTTTCCGTGTCGCCAAGACCCCATTCGGAAGACGCGTCCGGACGCAGGCCCCAACTTTCCGATCCTTGAGGTGGAGACGTAGCATCGGGTCATCCTGAACCGAATCCCCTGCTTCCTGCGGTCCTTGGGTGTTCCCTGGCTTTCCTTTTGTTTCAGTCGGAGGCTTTTGGGTCATTTTACCAGAAGCGATGCTTCCGATGTGCCTTGTCTCGCACCGAGTTCGTGAACCAGGAACCATAGATCTTCCCTTTTTTGGGCATACCAAAAGGGCCAATCTAAAGGCCTCACAATTTCTGGCGCAACATCCGCTGGTTGCTTGCCGGGATTCGTGGATTCCTTCGCCTGGCCAGGCCACGGAACCCACGGAACCCGTCGCTCGTTCCTCGAGCCGGATGGCGCGGTTGCTGGCATTGCCGCTGACGGCCTGGGCTGGCCAGGCGGCCGAAGAACCCCTAAGGATCTTGGTGGCTCCCAGCCATCCCCCTAGCCTGTTGGCCTTTTCACTTCCTGAGTTGGCGGACTTTAAACTTTTTGGAAAGACCATTTTAGTGGTAAATAAAGATTTCAAACTTTTCTTGGCCAGTCAACTTGGGAAGTGAGTTAGTGTTTAGTGGTAGCGTCCATTTAACCCACTCAAAGTTACAAAAAGTGTAGCGGGGGATCTGTGGGCAGCCCAGGGATGAGTCACCTGTAAATGCCAACAAACCATGGTTTCAACCATGGTTTCAAAGTGGTGCAGGATTTTGGCCCCATACTAATCAATCCCAGTTTTTTTGGGGTGTTTTGCTTTCCCCTTCAAAAGTGGTTTGATTCCCCGCAAAACCCAGAACTAGACACCCCGGTCAACATTATATACTGTTTTAAAGGGAAGCCACTTGTTGAAGGTGATGTAGAGAGCCCCTAATTCCAGTTCATGTGAAGCAGTGAAGTGTGCCTTCCTCACCCTGTGTGTTCTTTGATACTTGTCCAATGATTGTGATACTGAGACTTGGGTTGAATTCCTTGGTCATGGGGAAACCAACGTGCCCCCCTACCCCCTTCGACACGGCATTGCCGAGGTCGGCGATCCGTGACTGATGCAAACTCCCAGGGTTCGGCCTGGCTGTGGCTCAAAAATTTAAGAGCTGGGGCAAACCGCTGGTGTTGGTCCATGTTTCCACTTACCGATCGGGCAACCCATTTCGGAATTCTGGTTTCTTGAGCCATACCCAACTGGTTGAAACAATCGCCTTGAAACCGGTGTTTTGCTTCGTTCTGCTTCCGGGAGTCATCAAAGTCGGAGAAAATGGGGGTTCTTTCCCTTTCACCTACCACTAAGGTGACTTTCACCATGCCGAATTCACGTGTTTGACCTGTTTAAAGAAAGTCGTTTTGGCTTACTGTGATGTTTGGAGGAGGGGTTCGAAGCTCGAAGCATGTTGGCCTTTCGGGCCCTAGTGATTGGCCCTTTGCCTTCCGACCCATTTCTAGCGGCAGATGTTTGACTCCGAATGTATCTCAGATGAGCCACGTGCTCAAAACCGATTCGGGTAGATGAAGGTTAGTAAGGGACGATCCCAGCCAGAAATAGCTGCGGAGATCCGCCTTCTTAATTCTTTACATTCCGGGTAGACCATTTTGATACCGGGTTTTGATTGCGACTCAGATGTTCGGGTAAACCAAGTGTGAAACAGAATCTACGATACCATTTTCAGTGCTCATGTGGTTCTTGAACCATCACTTGGTCACGTCAAGGCAGTGCTCCTAAAGGAGATCAACCGAAGTGTAAGGCACCACTTGAACCTTTTCCTTTTTGCCTGTGTAGTGACCACTTGGATTTTCCTTTTGCACGGAGTGAGAGAAGGGGCTTGCCATTCTGGTTGGAGAGCTGTAAACACCGTGAATGCCCAAAGCTCTTTGTTACCCTGAACATGCTCGAGCTGGTTGCATTGTTTGCAATTTTTAGGAGCCCGGAATTTTAGGATACGAAGCGCCATCGCCTGAGAAAATCACTAAGACGCGGTTTTCTGGGTATCACCGACGCCTCAATTCCCACAGCATTTGGGGAACACCTTCCCTTCAAGCTGCAAGGAATCGTATTCCGTGGTTGACATAATGAGGGGGAGAGGCGTGGTGTTGCCCAGTTTCCAGACCAACGCTGAGATCGGTATGATTAAGGGGTGGAAGCAGTTTATGATACCTCCATTTGTTGGGCGTCTAAAGCCAGAACCAAAACAGGGGCCCCTGCATAGTTCCGCGTTTGGAAGGATCAACCATTTCATGGCCATGTTAAAAGGTGGTTTCCCTTAGATAGTGGATTTTTTGGGTGGGAAGCCATGACCCCTGCTAAAGGCAAACAGCCAATTTTGGAACTACCACGTGTTCAGACTTGTTTGTCGTCAAAACTGTTTGGAAAATATATGTCTTTGTTTTTTGTGGCTTTCCTGTCAGCTCAGCAAAGCCTCAATCCTGGACTTCGTATTTTTGAGACGACAATTTTGGTGGCACATCAAAGTTCCGACTTAAAAAAAAAAAAAAACATCCTCTCGGGAAGTGACAGCACACACCCAGTTTTTTGAAGGGGCGAGAGACCCACATGGCCAGGTGCTTGCGCCGGATCTGCCGCCGCAACAGGCTGGTGCCTCAAGCCGACGGACTTCGGGTGACGTTTTGGAGGGTCCTTGGCCCATGAACATTGTCTAGGTCCCCAGTGGTGTCCTTTCTCACCCTGTTTGTTTGGGGAGGATTCTCTACTAACATAGACTACAGAAGAAAGAGGGGACCCTTACCCCATGCTTTCCAAGGATCCTTCTTTTCAGGAAGCCATCACACATCCACGGGAAACAGCTGGTTTTTGTCTTGAACGATGGAAAAGAATGGGGGACCAAGCGCTGGAAACATGGAAACCAAAGAGCAGTTAGTTGTACTTTGCGGTTCCCAGGGCCCGGTTCCAAAGGTTTCGAGGCTTCTTCGTTGGTTGAGTGAGGGTGTCCATGTAACCCGCTAAGAGTTAAAAACCTTTGAGCAGGGGATCAGCTCAGTGTAGAGGCCTCCTTTTGTGGGACGCCTTATTGGGATGTTCCATGTTGTGTAGGGGACCCTCCAACGGCGGTTTGCAAGAGATGCCAGGAAAGAAACAATTGTCCCCAACTTCTGTTTTGTTCACGAGAGTAAGTTGGTGGAAGATAGTCCCAACCTTCAAAATCGGCGCGGCCGCCCTTCGGTTCTCGACATGGTTTGGGTGGATTTCTTGAGAATCAGGTTTCGATTATAACTCACGAACCAACTTAGTTTGAACAACCTTCTTGTGGTGTCCCAAAGCTTTGGGGAAGCGGGCTGGTGGTTTCAACCAATCCAGGGCAACCAGGGTCCAACATGTTCGAAGCCGGTCTCAAATAAGCGAGCGATCGATTCGGAAAGCATGGGCGTTGCAATTTTTATCGCGAGCCACGCACTACTGACATGGCTGGTTTTTGGTGTACCTCAGCCTCGTAGACCATTTGGAAACAAATGGCATTTGCATTAAATCTACAAAAGGTCGATCACGACCTCTTGCTTTTTCAGGGGAGCAACATTGGTTAGAACAATTGTTTGGCTTTGCACAACTCACCTCCTGCGTTCGTGGACTTTAGTGGTTTTTTGGGAATGCCGTTTTAGTGGTAAACAGCAACTTTAGGCCTGTTTGGGCCAACCCACTCAGGAAGTGACTTGCAGAATACATTTGCTTTACAGTGCATCCTTTACCCTCCCACCAATTCACATGGAACCTGAGCTTTCCAGGGTTCCCGGTTTGGACTGTTTTCCGTTAAAGGGACCCCCGAACGTCAGGTTACAGGTTATAGGAGTGTAAGTCAGCTGGTATTTGAGGATATATTTTTCGAGTTGGCCCCAGCTATCCTTGAGAAGGTCGCATCGAATCGCCGAGGTAGAAGTCCTGGTGAACGGCAGCCGCCCAGAAGAGCTTCTAGCGAAAGCCGACCGCCTGGGTCCGCTGCTGCAGGCGATTTAGCGGGTCCCGATAAGGACGGCTCACTCGCTTTGGTTATTGCAAAACGCAGGACTTGGCTCGATTTTGGGCACCCAGCCTTGTTTGAATGTGGCCATCAAGCTTACAAATGTACCAGTGTGGCCCTTCTGTTGTTTTCTGATCGGATTGTTTGGGATGTCCAACTTACCACAAGTACGTTCTTGCTTTCTGCGCAGTTGTTGTGTTTTGTCATCGGGATTTCCCTTAAGTGAACTACCGCAACAAGTGCAATTTCGCAAGCCGTTCGGGCAACTGGGGCCCAGTGGGGAAGTATCCCGTTGTTGAGGGGATCTTCTCTTTCGGGCAGCCCCCGCCAATTTATCAGTTTGTTGAAGCCACATTCGCGATTGTTGCTTGGGTGATGAATGCACGTGGTACATAGCGACAGATGTTTTGGGGGGGGTTCTGGTTTGAAGGAACTTTTGTTTGGGTTGGTTTGCGGGCTGCCGGCCATCATCCCCGCGTTTACTCTTCCATTTGTTCAATAATGTTTTTTTTCTTTTATTTTCTCCCTTTGGTTGTAATTAAAAGGAATCGATCACTACTGGAAATATTGTTCTTTTTCCAGGGGGCTTAAGCAAATTGAAGTACTTAGTTTTTGCTTCTTCCACAAGCTCGGCTTCGGCCCCTGCCCGTGATGCCAAGAAACCTCCGAGTTTCACCCCTCCCCCCCCACCTTTTGGTATGGTTTCAACAAGAATCCAAGAGGAAACCAACCAGCTTGAAGCGTCCTTGCGTTTGAGAAGCATTTTTTGATGTATCTATACATTATATATATATATATATATTCTACATTGACATACATATACATATATATATATATAATTATATAAATATATATAGATATATACAATATGTTTGAGGAATTGGGTACAGCAAATTGAAAGGTGAATGGGGCACCACCAAACCGGCATATATATATATATGCATCCACTTTGTTCTTTGGGTGTCTAGCTGTTTGTCCCCACGCCGGCCAGAACGAGAGCAAGCCCTGAGCCCAGAGTGGGCCCAGCGGGGATCACATTGCGTTTCGAAGGTAAAAGGGGGGTGACTCCCAAAATGGGTGGGTTTCCTTTTGGTTTCCTCCAAAGCCAAAAAACGCAGGCTTCCCAAAAGAAGGGTCAACGCTTCGACTGCTTTCTGGACAGCACTTGGGGTTTGCATGGGAAACACGGGGCCTTGGGCCAGACAGTGACAGGTGTGCATTTCTTGCCCCCATAAATCTGGGTTGGTTCCAAATGCGGCGTCACGTTTCGGGGTTCGGTTTGCGACATCATGTTCGTGAAGGTTCCTTGCACAGAGGGGACCGATGTTTTGCGGGTGGATTAAACATGTTTACCCTAGATCAATCGGTTAAAACACCGGTTTCCCTCCAAAGCCAGCAAAAAAACGAGGGCTAACCCCACGACAAACTGCCCGATGATCGGCTAGAACACTTAAGGCGGCTGGCAAAGCCTTAACCTGAGCTCATGTTGCTTTGGTGAGCCATCCGGCTCCTTAGCTTCTTGGCCTTTGAGTGTTTAGTGGTTTCCATTTCAGCCACTAAAAGTTAGTCACTTTGAGCGGCAAACGGGCAGCCCAGTTTGTTTTGGAATAGCCCACCCGGTGTTGTAATTTCACCCAGCTAATGTTGACCCCAGATTAATAAACCCCAGGTTGATTTTGATCGGGGGGTGTCCCCTTTTAGTGGGGATTCATCACTTTTGGAGGCAAGACCCCCCTAATAATGGGACAGGTTTATTAATCCGGGGTCAACATTAATCAAACGGCTGACAGGTTCTCTCCCCTGTTCGGCCCTAGTGTTTTGAAAGGAAGAGAGCGCCCGGAACTTCCAGCGGCGAAAAGTATGAGTCCGTGGCTCACCGGGCCCGGAACTTCCAGCTGCCCTTGCCACGGATTTGTGGTTGGGTTGTTGGTTCTTTACTGTTCTTAACTTTAAACAAATGGTTCTGTTCATTTTGCTGGGGGTCTGCAAAAAACCGAGATTGTTTTTTTCCCCGCTACCCTACCAAGAGTTGGGTTGTTGCTTGTTGATGTTTCTTCTGTTCGATTGGGGCCTTGCAGAAGTGCGCCAAAACCAATCTTGAGAACAGGGCCCCTGGAAAACTTTGGCCTGCTCCCAATCATTTCAAGGTCCTGGCTTTAAGGTGCGTGCCTCAGATACGGTCCACGATTTTGTGTTTTGTATGTTGTTGTATGTTTTTTGTATGTTTTTGTATGATTGTTTTCTTGTGTGTGTATATGCCCTACTTGTACATGACATGTTGACCCCATACTAGTCAACCCCAGTTTCTTATTGGGGAGGTGTCCCCACATCACTTTTGGACGGGAACCCCCCCTGGCAAACAAACTGGTGTTGAACATTAACGAAGGTGTGTACCCCAGGACAATATGGGTGGGGTATCTCTCCCGTAGGATCTCGAAGGCAAGTAGCTAGTTCCACAGCCCGTGATGCAGGTCCTTTAATTCGTTTACGCCCGACGTGAATTATAGCAGATGCGCTTCTCTTGGTGGTTTGAATTGGCTGTTTGGGATTTGTTTTTTGACTAAACCAGACGAAAGGGCCAGCTAACGTTCAAACCAGCAATCCCAACCACCAAGTAAGGGGAAAGTGATTGTAGTTCTTTGCGTGGATCATTTTTAGTTTTGCTCCGACGTATTGAGCGCCCAGGTGTGTTTTACTTTTGAACTCGAAAACTGGCGTACACTGCCGCTCCGAGGTTGGGGGAGTTTGGATACACCAAGCACCCGAAGAAAGAGCCGGGGACTCGGTCGGGTGACAAAACCCACCCTTGGATGTTCACCAGGGAAAGCCAGTGACTCCTACCCGTCGGTGGCAAATTGGGGGGGTAGCCGCTACCCCAAACAGGTGGTTTCCCTTTAGCAACAGGCTCCCCTCAAGACCCAGCCAAATGGGGATCAAACCCATCGTTCAAAGGGCCTTTGAGACACATGGCTTCTCGAAATGGGGGACACAAAAATATGTGCGTCTCTATTTAGGGAACCCCCAATGGTGTGGTTTCCTTCTGGTTTTCCAAAAAGGGTACCAACTCCAAAAGAGTGACCCCGAATGGTTGGTTTCCTGTTGGATTCCCTTGAACACCAAGCAAAAGTAGACCGTCAGACGCCCTTGGTTGAAGGCCTTCGGAGAAAGGAGAGCGAACGCTTTGGCCTGGGCTGGGCTCCCTATGTTGAACACATCAAAGTCAGGGCTTCGAAGATTCTTTTTCCTATCACTTGGGTTGGCCTCCTCGCCCCGCGCACCCCCACCCCGGAGTCCAAAGCTTTGAAAGCTTTCAGCTGCCCTTGGACCATTTATTGCTTCAGTCCCGTGAGAAGAAAAACATTTCCAGTAGTGACCATGTGGAGGTTGCGAAATCCATTTGAACCACCTAAGAAACTAAAAAGAGGTGCTTCCAGTGTAGATACAACAAACAACGGTTTCAGCCATGGTTTCTTAGGTGGTGCAGAATTTTATCCGTCCACAGTACTTGGGGGCTTGACTTTAGTAAATGATGACCTGGACCTGTTTCCAGGGATCTGTGCTGGACGAAACCCGGGTTACTCGGCCTTATATTTGCGGAGATCAGTTTTGGCGGACAAGGTTCCTTCAATATTGTTTGTTTCGTCTATGGTCCATTTGGCAGCAAATTTCCCAGGTGGGTGTGTCTTTCTTACGGGACCCCTCAAAATGACGGTTCTCCTTTTGGTTTCCCTTTGAATACCAACCAACAGGGGGTTCCCTAAAACACACACACACACACAGCCCCAAGTCCAGTCCTGCCAGCTGTGCAGCACCAACCGCACGGCTCGAGGAAGGTTGGACAACAGGATAGGGCGTGTCTGTTGTTTCAACATGGTTGTCCCGTTCCTTCTTTTTTGGAAGTGTTCCGTGTAAAAAGCCGTTCATGTCCCATGGCCACAACCTGAGGTTGTTGTCCTCTTGGTTTCCCTTTGAATCCACAAGCGAAAATGGGGCCTCAGGAAATACGCCCCCGAAATGGCGACTCGCGGGAGGGGTGCAAGGAGAGATGCCTTCCCAATCACGGCCTCGATGGATCGGTACCCTTTGTGGGTTGTTTTTGAATATCCAGAGAGAACACCCCCCCCCCATTGTTGGAGGTACCCCAATTTTGACACACACACACACACACATTTCTTGCAGGTTGTTGGGGTTCGCCCTCGTTTGTCCTTGCGTTGTGTTTCGTGGTGCTTCTATTCCTTTGGTGCATGTTGCTTGGACGTTAGGACTTTAACTTGTTGCCAACTAATAGGTTTTCCATGAAACCACTAAAAGTTAAACTTTTAGCAGGGGAGCAGAAAGCCACCGAGCTTTATTTGCCCGGCAACCTCAGGTTGAGATGGGACGACCTCCGGAGCATCATCAAGGGCAGGAAGTGCTCCACGGAGAAGGCGGCGGTTGGGTTCGTCATTTTGGGGGGAAGGCGTGGACACTTTCAGCCTATTTTGTAGACTCCAACCCCAAAAACCAAAACCCTAAATGCAGGAGGTTGCAAAATAGACCCAAAGTGTCCATCCGGGGGGGATGGCTGGGGCTTTTTGCCGACGGGAGTCGGGGTGTGGGTGGTTTGGGCTCGTTTCGGCGCCATGCTCACAGGTGCCACACTAATTTGGAGAAGCCTGTACCAGGGCAAGAAATGTGTGTTTGCCCCGGAATCCCTGTTTCATGGGTAGTTTGAGGGTCGAGGTTGTTCTTTTCTGGGGATCAAAAGACCGTTCCCTTACTTGGTTGAGCCTAGGGGTGTTTGACAATGTAAAGGTAAAGGGAAGCATGGCCTCTACTACGGAGTCTTGACAATTGAATGGAATTTTATATCAGCAGCGGACAGACAACATTGGTGGTACTCTGCAATCGATTTGAGGAGGACTGGGGTACCCAGTTTTCTCCGGTTCCTTACGAAGCAAAGCCGGGGGGCCGCCCTTGGAAAGTACGATTACTCATCACTCATATGTTATACCGGTTGCAAACTATTGTTGACAAAGGTATGAACCAAACTCTAGCATATCTGTAGTTGGAAGAGCAGAGCCCTTCAACTGCCTGCTTGCTGGACAAGAACAATGGTCCCCTCCCACTCCGTCCGGCTTGATTTCAGAGTATCATCGGCCTTCTTACATGACGCTGTTGACCGAACCGAAATGAGTCAGGGTTATGTTATGTCCTGGGTTAGGGTTAGCCATTGACCAGGCCATACCAGGTCAGTTGCGCAATCGAACCCTGTTCCCTTTTTGGTTGGTTCCCACAATTGCTACCATGTTGCCCCCGGCATCACTGGCTACACTTGGGAGGTCTCTTGAAGCCTTTGCTTTTTTAAGTCCATATGGAAGTGTGGGTGTTTGTTTTGTTTGTTTGTTTGTTTGTTTGTTTGTTTGTTTGTTTGTTTGTTTGTTTGTTCGTTTGTTCGTTTGTTTGTTTGTTTGTTTGTTCGTTTGTTTGTTTGTTTGTTTGTTTGTGTGTGTGTTTTTTGTTAAGGGGCCCTTTTGGCCTTCCCCAAAGAATAGCACATGTTTTTGGGTCCTATTTTGACACACACACCATACCTTAGGCTTTGGCAATTTTACTTGATGGTTTTTCCAGCGCGGCAAGCCGTCGGATGCCGAGGCGGACGAGCAGTGCGGCGAGCTCGTGTGCCGGAAGGCGGGGGTGGCGGACGTGGCGTTCCGTTCGGTTTCGCGTGAACACCACAAAAAACTTCCATTTGCTTAAGAATACGTTTCATTTTCTCTTGTTGGTTTTAAAAGGCATGTATCACTACTGGAAATGTTTTTTTTGTTTGTTTTTTTGTAAGGCATTTATCACTACTGGACATGTGTTTCTTTCCCCATTTTGTCTGAACCAAAAGGAAGAAAAGGGTACCCTCACAGAGAAACCACACCCCGGGGAGCAGGATGGTTATTCCACAAAGCACTCGCGCATTCAGGTGGGAGCCCATGTCTGATTCGGGCCCGTGTAGATCTGAGGAAAAGATAGTCGCACGGTCTTGAGGTTTACCACGGGTCGGCCTGAGCAGTCCCTGTAGTACCTGAGGGGACTTGAACCCGCCCAACTTCAACTTGGATGGTGCGACCAGGTCTTCTGTCCGAGCAACCAACCGTTGCTCCATACCATTGCCTCTGAGGAAAGAGGAAAAGAGAACATGGCGATCTGCAACTACATTGAAGGCCCTTGGCTTGGGGCTCCCAACTTTGCCGGGTTGACTTGCAACATGTTCAGATCCATGTTGTTTTTCTTCAAGTGATCTGAGGTTTGTTTTTTGTCCGGCGGAAACTTTCAGGCCAAACTATCTTAAGCGTCCGCTCCCCACAAGGTCGGCTTTTGTTTCCAGGCCCAGGTTCTATAAAACAGCTGGTTGCTGGCTGGCCAGTTCGCTTCATACCATCGATTTGTTGGGTTTTCCCGGTTTGGTGTCGGTGGATCTATTTCCTATGGTCGTTTGTCGGAATCTGGTCGGCTCACATGAGGCTAGAGAGAGATGCACCAAACTCCGTCGCCCTTTAGCAACGAGCCTGGGACCCTCCAAGCTCCGAACCACCCCAGAGTTTATTTAGGCGTGTCTTTTCTTTTAGTGGGGACTCCCAAAACGGCTTCGGTTTTCCTCCCCCTTTAAAGCCGCCAAAAAACTGGCCCCTCGACGCCCACCCCCCCCCCTCCCCCCCCCCCAAAGCTTTTTCAGCGCTCGGACAAAAACCTCCGGGGCGATGCGGCGATGCGGCGATGCTTGCGTCGGCAGGGCCTGTGCAGCTTCTGCACGCGGGACTCGGAGTGCCCCTCACTCCACCGCTGCGTCGAAAGCTCGCCGCGGCCTTGGCTTTGCGGGAGCTGGGATTTGGTTTTTGAGAAATCCCGCATGGAGGGGGTGTGTCCTCTTTTTTAGGGGACCCCACAAATATTTCACTTGTGTTCCTGATGGTTTCCCTTTTTAAGGCACCAAAGAAGGAAAGGTACAACCATGTGCGCTGTCTTGTTACTTGTGCGGTGTGTTTGCTTGTTTGCTCAGTTAGCGATGTCAGCGGTTGTGTCCATCTTTAGTGGGGGTGTGGCAAAGCACAAAGTTGTTTGCTAGTATGGTTGAGAAGTTGTCAGCTTCGTTTACTGCTTTGACTCGACGCTGAGCAATACATCATTGTTAATTTCCCCAAAGGGAAACATAGGAAGCATGTAGCTAGTTTGTTCATGTTTTTCTTCCAGACCCTCCCCCCCCCCAACCCAGTTTGGCACCTGGTTGATCCTGCTCTCCCACGTCTGAGGACAGCCCAGTCAAGTAGTTCCCCTTTGCTCATTTCTTCCAGGGCAGATTTCGAATGAAAGGTTTTTGCGCAGTGAAGCACCACTCCCCCCAAACTTGAACAGCTATGCAGAGTCCCAGAGGCCCACAGGCCAAGGATTTTCTGATCAAGTACCAGACATCCTGTGGCTGCCCGTTCTTTTTTCAGGTTTCCATTCCAAGTTCATTCCCAGCATCGGCCTCCCCTGTTTTTTTTCTTCCCCATGTTTATTTGAGGGTTCGGGCCTAGGATGAAGGTGTGACTTCCCGTTTGCCCAGACCTGGTGCTGGATATCGCATCACAGAACTGTTTGAGAATTTCACCCACCTATAGCAGGTGTTCTACTGCTTGGCTGCGGTTTTTGTCAATTTGTAGCACGGACCTATAGGACCTTGTCCCCACTTGCTCTGTTTGGAAGCACCAAGTTGGTGCTGCTTCATCTCAAGTCCCATCATCCAAAGGACCGAAACAAGCAGAAACACGGTTGTGCGAACAACCCGTCAACCAGCTTTTGGGGGGTGCCCGCATGGGGTTTGGGTTTGGGTTTGGGTCTCTGAGCCGCCCAGTTGTACATTGGTCAAATATCAGTTATTCTTCGTTATGTTAGTGGGGGCTTGTTTTTGTTTTTCTCCGGACACCCATGGAACACATTTAGTTGTCGAGTCCAAATCCAAACTTTTTGTTTGATGTGTCATTTGTTGTCTTTTTTTTCGTGGTGGGTGGAATCAAATTCAAAGTTTAAATTTAAACAGCAACCTGGGATTTGGACGTTCTGTTTGGTATGGCTTTGTCTTGGCCAGGGAGTAAGATGACGTGTGCTTACATTGTTGTCGCACCAATGTTGACTCCTGTCTGGCTCTGTCACGAAATCCAGTCGCTGTATTGAAAGCCCAAACGAACCCTCCCTTATCACGTCAATGAAGACACTAAGGTAATCCCACCATTGGTTCGGGGGTTCCCATTTCAAAGGCTTCCTATATAGTTCTTCGTGGTTTTGAATAGCATCGCCTTTCTGCTTGCTGATTCAAACATAATTTCCTTTTTGATGGTTCAAGAGGAACGATGCCTGCAAGAACCCTGTGACATGTTCCGAGGAACGGCCGGGCATGCCGCGCCATGGAACGCAAGGCTGGGGTGCTCTTTGCCGGTTTGTTCTGTTCGTTGTGTTCACTTCTTCAAGTTTGCAAGTTGGTTCTGCTCATTGGTGGCAGCTGCATTTGTTTTGCTCGCGCAGTGTTGGCGTTAAGTTAGATGTTGGCCAAGCGTTTGTTAGATGCCGAAGCGCTCTCCTGACAAACTAGTCAGGAATAGCCCGCTTCGGCTGGGTTATTTCCCATGCGTTTGGGATGCTTCGGCGCACTCTCCTGACAAACTCATCAGGAATAGCCCGCTTCGGCTGGGCTAAAATAACCCTTGAAGACGTGTATCCAAAATGGCTAGCCCCAACGGAAGTGCTCCAAGGGGCTTCACCAAACCATCGCTTGGGAGATGTGCGGCTTTTTTGTTCTGCCCAGGGATGACCACCTTGGGCGCCTCTTTTGACTCTAACCTAGGGGGCTCAAAGGGTCACTAAATGGAAGCCACCCACTTTTTTGGATTTCTCCCAATGAAGAAAACAAGAACATGTATGTTGTTTTGGGGTGGGTGAGATATATAGTTGTTTGTTGCTTTTTCAGAGGGTCAAGCCAGTCCTGCTCGCTAGGGATTCGGAGGCAAGATGCACCCCAGACGGATTTAGCTCATGCTTGCTTCATCATCCTTCTAGAGAAAACGTGTGCAGTTGGTGTGGGTCCCGAATTTCCATTTAGATGTGAATAGTCGGCTGGTTTGCATGGCTGGGTGGATAGATGGTTCGCAAAGAGGGTACGGGCTCCACACAATGGACTCTTCACTCAAATACCTTCAGCGGGGTATCGTTTGACAAAAGTGCAGGTTTCGCTCTGAAACTCAGCCCGCCTAAAAGGCAAGTCAGGTGCCCATATGCCCTTGTATATCCATGACCCGCTAGGATGGGTTTTACTTGGATCCAGGGTTGCCATTGAAACTAAACTCAGTCACAAGAGAACCATGTGAAATTACTTAGTCTCTATTACTTAGCTGTTTTTTGGTTGGACCTTAAACCTTGGTCTGTTCAATAAGTGTTTCGGTGTCCCCCGTTGACAACTTTTTTTTGTTTTTTTTCTGCGTGTCACTTCTAAGGTTTGGGGCTGAAGACCCCATTCGACTCACTTCCTGAGTTCCCTGAAAACCTTTTTGAGAAAGCCGTTGTAGAGTCGTAAATAAAAGGTTTAGTTACTTTTTCTGGCCAACCCACTCAGGAAGTGAGTCCTTCGCCCTTCTTGGCTAAGGAACATCTATCACACGACTGGGCGTTTCTTTTCTTTTTTCTTTGGGGGCGCAACGGCAAATGGACCCATGGAGGACTCGGAGCCGTCCACTTCCCAAGTTTTCCGGACGTTTTTTCGCCCCTCGAGCCCTCTCTGGCCCTCAGGCCTGGGAGTCCGCGTGGCAGGACCGCAGCGAGTGCCTGGGCAAGTCGGGCCAGCGGGGCGAGGGCTGAAGGAGACGATTTGGGGGAGACGATTTGGGGTCCCAGGACTACTTGATGTTGACCCCCAGATTTGTCATGAGCGCCCCCGTTTTTTTTAGTAAGGGGGGTGGTTTTTGGCCTCTCCAAAAGTGGTGATTCCCCACTAAACCCAGGGACACCCATGGGGTTAACAGTACTCATGACTGAGAATAATGACTGGTAGGATTGGCAACGACTGGTTTTTCATACTGCCTTTGAGAGCAGCAGTGTCAGTGCGTCAGGTCAGTCATTCCACTACTGCAAGGCGACCGTTCAATCCACATTCAAACATCTCTTTACCACCGGCTACTAAGGGATTATCAGTCAAGATGTACAGAAAAACTAAAGTTTAAATCTACAAGTGCTGCTTGTCAGCGTGAGACGTATGTTCATGTCCACAAAATGTCAAGAGTCATGGGGGGCTGGGGGGGAGGGAGGGGAGGGAGCCCCTTTAAGCCCCTATCAAGCCCTTAATAAGGCCTTACTTGGGGATGATTTGGGGCTCATTTGGGCTCCCCCTCTCCCTCCCCTCCCTCCCCCCGGGCCCCCATGGAAAAGGATCTAAGCTCGTTTCCACACGACACATCTTTGGACCTTGGCTCACCATGTTGCCCACTTCCGCATGGGCCAAACGGGCGTGGGGTCAAAAATAGGCACCCAAAATGGGCTTCCACGGCAAATGACACCAAGGACTAACACCGAAACCGGCCCCTGGTGGCTTAATATTGACCCATACCCGAATGGTCAAACCAAACAAGTGCGCCCCTTTCCAGCCAGAGTCACTGGGCGGGCAAAGCGGCCAGTGGAGTTGGCATTGAAGAGCCCATGTGGAGGTGGTGCAGAAACCAAAAAAGACAAAACTTAAACAAAAAGCGAGAGGCACAAGTACCGACACCTGTCATGCTATTAATCGTGTCACATCATTTTGACATACTCAGGAACTGCACAAATAAACAGGTTGATCACAGTCTGCAGAAGCACTGAACATCTGAGTGGAAGCTCTGCTGAGGAAGATGTGCACCTTCCTGATCTTTGTGTCGGGCACTCGTGCTTCGTTGGGACGAGGGTCATTTGTGGGCTTGGCTTAGACGAGGTACCAAAAGGGAACCACCCCATTGTTTGGCTTCCCGTAGTTTGACATACCTTCATCCGATCAAAATCAGAAGACATGCACACTGACACAATCAGAGGTGGAGATCACCAACAATGAGATTTATATCTTCCATTTGCTTAGTAATCTGTTTTCTCTTCCGTTGTTGGTTTTAAAGGGAATCTATCAGTACTGGACATGTATTGTGATTTTCCTTTTTAGAGGGCTTTTGCAAGTTGAAGTTCTAAGAGCCCCTCATGTTCACCCAAGCGCCACAGCTCTATCGCCAGAGATGCATGCTGGACAAGCCATTTCTCAGTTTTGCAGGCAACTTGGGCGTGGGATTGCGCCGCGTTTCCTCGCCATGTTCTCCAAAAACTTCCCGGTGGGCCTGGTGTTTATCGTGTTGGTGGAGTTCTGCGAGCGGACTTGCTACTACACCTTCGCGGGCACTCAAAAGACCTGGTTGCAGGAACAGGGCTACAGCAACTCCCAGTCCAGCTCCATCAACCTCACCTGGGCCGAGGTGTGCTATGTTTGCTGCTTTTTTGGCGGCTGGCTCGCCTCTACGCGAGTTGGAATCTTCAGGAGCAAAGTAAAGTAGCCCAATTCGGTTGGATGGGCAAAAGTCGGGTAGGCTCCCCACTTGGAGTAGGGGAGCTCTCTGATTGGTTTTCAATTCAGCCCTTGCAGAATCCTGCTGTCTAGCCGCGGTTTGGTTCTTGAAAATGCATCCAGCGGAGAAAGAATGAACAGCAGAGAGACCTGAGAGCACTGGAAGCCTTGAGCACGCGAAGCAAAAAGCAGGTGAACAACACATTGCTGGCGTTTACTGTGACAAAATCACCAGTTAGACCTATTGGAAGCAGATGAGTGTGTCCTTTTTCAAGAGGACCCTCCAACATGGTGGTTTTCCTTGTGGATTCCCTTTAACACCCCCAAAAAGCGGGTACCACCCCAAATGGCTTTTCCATTCAGCCTACAAAAGGTGAGACCCAGCTTTTGCTCAAGAGCACCTCGGCAGGAAGTTCAAGACTTCCGGAGAGTTCCCTCACGCGGACACCAAACAAAATGCTTACACAACTTCCATTTGAAGAAGGTTGTGAATTTCCCCGTTGCTTAGGGAATCTATCACTCACCCACCAACCACTCCTTTCTTAACAGTATTTTTGGTATTTAGTTGCGGACCTGGGAACAAGCAGGCAAGCTAGGTGCGCTGGTACTGGGACATATTTTTGGGCTGGGGACAAAAATGCCGAAGGGAATTTATCACTCAGCCCCCCCCAACCACTCCTTGCTTACCACTTCTTGGGGGGATCCTGGCACCACCTAAGAAACCCAACGGAATGATTCGATTTTGCCTGTAACTACCAACACAAACCTCATGGTTTCAACCCTGGTGTCGCTGGTGTCCTTAGCCGTTGCGCGATTTCAGGATTTCGGCCGGCCACAGGCCATGTTTTGGCCAGGACTATCGCAGGCCTCTCCCTGACCTACGCCTTGGGCACCTATTTGAGCGCCTTCGCCGCCCTTCCGCAACTTGGTCTTTCCGCGATTTGCGGGGAACTGGCGGTCCAATTTTTTTGGGGGGACCAGTACAATGTGGTGGTGTTCTTATTTGGGCTCCTTTAAAACCAGTAAAAAGAGTACGAAAACAAGACTCGCCCAAGATATGGTGGATCTTGGGGACCGCCCCCCAAATAACGGACCCATAGAAAAGCTCTCAGACGAGGCTGCTGGAGTTTCGAGGGGTTGACATATCCAGAGTTCCGGATGCTTGAACGCCTGGTGCTGGGCTTTTAACCTCACAATTTTTGCATCGTGATGGAATGAAGAGGGCATATAAAGGTTGCATCCCGCCTTTTAGAGCGTGCCTTTTGGCAAGGAATCAAGAAACCACGCGAGTCAACTTACATTCAAGCAAAGGAAACAACCAAAAAGGGCTCCTAGAGGTGTGCCCCACACAAAATCGGCAGCTACATGGTGGATTTCAGATGGCTGGTCTTTGGTGTAGCCAAATCACCCCAAAAGGATCTTCTCAAAAGGATCTTCTGGAAACTACTTGCTTGTCAGAAAAGACTTATCATGGCTACCAAGCATAGCGATGCGGGAGCAAGTGAAGAACTTGAAGCTAAATCAGTTTGTATTTTGTTTTTACACATGTATTATATATATATATATATAAATACATGTGTATGTCTACTTTGGGGATCAATGTCAGAGTAGGTTGTTTCCCTTTACGCCACTTGGGTGATTTTTGGTAAAAACGAGGGGCTTCAACGAAGCAAGGCAAGTGGAATCCACAGGGCTCTACTTGCTGGGCACCTTCGGCTTGGTGGCGTTGGGCTCGGGCGGCATCAAGCCCAACGTGTGCACGATGGGCGCCAATCAGTTCGAGCCCTGCCCGGCGATTTGGGGATTTGGGAAAAGGCCCGTCGGTTGGCCGCTTCCGTTCGTTGGCTTCCCAGAAAACGAAAAGAAAAGTTTGGGATCCCAAGTTGGGCCAGTTTAAGTTTTGCCTGTTTCTGGAGGTTGACGGTTAAGAGCCTGGGGGTTAAGTTATGACTTAGGCGCTGACTTTGATAGTGCTACATAGTGGTGCCAGTTTTCACGGGGTCCCTGTTTTCAGACACAGCCCAGGGCTATTTGGGGCCATCGGTTTTAGGGATCCCAAGGTTTCCCTTTTCCGGCAAACATGAGCAAAAGGCTTATTGAAGGTGACGTTTCCTTGCGAGTGGCTGATGTTTTTTGTTTGGTCGGGAGAACATATCGGGAATAGATGAGTTGGGAACCCCCTTGTGGGTTGGTGTCAAAGGCAAACAAAAAGGACACCAACCATCATTTGTGAGTCTGCCCACTATTTGGCTATGAGTTTAAAGAGTTGCAAGAAGAAGCCACCAGACAAAAAGGCAACGCAGTCGAAGGGATTCAGACCTGCTCTTCGAATCTTTCGCCTTCCCCGGGGATCCCAGGCAAACCGCAGTAGGTCACCAACCAGCGTCCTTTTGGTTTGTAAAGGGTAAGCAGTTGGTTACCTATGCAGGTAAATGGAATCACTGGGCTTTACAGTTGCAAGAGTATTTCGTCATCCCCTTTGCCTACTTCAATTAAAGGCAAATGTGTCCATTTTGCTTTCACCCTGGTGGAACTTTGGGGGAACAAGTTGTTTTTTCCACAACAAATGCAGCGAACATGAACAGGTTAGACACTTTTAGCGCAGGGAATAGACACTAAGGACCCTGCTGATCCTGAAGCAGAGCAGAATCGCGCATCCTTCTTCCTGTACTTCTACCTCACCATCAACTTAGGCAGCGCTTTGTCCCACGCGTTCCTCTCGAGTTGGGCGACCAGCGGAGTCCCGGGCATCGGTGTGGATATTGAGCACGGCTACTTCTTTGCCTGGATGATCGCGGCGAGCTTGATGCTCATGGCATTCCTGCTCTTTGTCGGCGGCAAGTCGAGCTATCGCAAGGCAGGAAAGGAGGACGTGGAGGAGGAGCCGGTGGTTCAACTGTTCATTCAGACACTGCGACAGGGCAGTGGCTCCGTGTGGGGAAAGCTGGCCATTTTTGGCTGGGTGCTCATTCCCGTCTTCATCGTCGTCAGCATTGTGAACGCTTTCGTCGAGTCTCCGGCCCTGAAGGCTGGTGCAGTGGCTATGGCCGTTGCTTGCATCGGGTCTTTGGTGATCGCCCACCTGAAGAACCCTTCCTGGCTTCCAGAAAGCGATGTCCGAAGATGTCTGGATTGCGTGCCTCTGCTGTTGGTGGGCAATCTCTTCTTCGGGATTTTGCAGAGCACCATCTCCAGCGTCTTCCAGTCTCAGGCTTGCCAGATGGACACGCGTCAGGACCACACGGACTTCTCCTTCGAGGGCTTCCAATACAGCGGCGACTTCTTTCGGCTCGCTAACCCGGTCACCATTGTGATTGGCACTCCACTTTTGGACCGCGTGGTGTACCCCTTTGTGAGGAAGTTGACTGGGAAGGAAGTTGGAATTGGTTTTAAGGCTGGGTGCGACGTAGTCGATATATTTCTTCATTCCCAAAAACGAACGGGAGGTGGGCGTTTCTTTTCTGGTTCACCGACCCCCTGACCTGCACCAGGTCATTCTGGGCTTCGGCTTTGCGATTGGGGCACAGCTCGTTGCAGCCAGCATCGAGTTTGCCCGCAAGTCTTCTCCTGTGCTTGCCGTTGCATCGCATTGCGCACCCATGGTCGACGGCGAGCACGTGCACATGAGTGGCTTGAACTCCTTCTACATGTTGGCGCCCTACGCCATGGTGGGCTTCGGCGAAATCATGGTGAACCCGGTTCTGCAGCACTTGGCCTATGAGGGCGCCCCTGCGTCCATGAAGAGCTTGCTCCAGGCCTTCAACCTCTTTGCCATGGGTGCCTTGCCCAACGGCGTGGCTTCCGTCATTAGCCAGGCGCTGAAAAGTCAAGTGCCCAACGACCTGAACCAGGGAAACCTGCCACTGGTCTACTTCATCAACAGTGCCATTGGTGTTGTGGGCATCTTTGCGTTTTTCGTCGTCTTGCGCTATTCCCCCACTCGCGCGGGCGAGGCAAGCGCGAAGGTCGCGAAAAGTGACGCGATCGATACAGAGCTCTGACTAGGAGACGAATACTACTGGTCCCAACTGCCTGATTTTGTCTGAAAGCTCGGTGCAGCTGTTTATTTGCTCACCGTTTTGACCTTTCGGTCTTTTTTCGCAACTCCTAAGCGAGTCCCTTGCAGTGCATGTTGTCTAGAACATTTTTGTGGTCCTTCCCTTCGATTGGTTGAAGAGCCAATCAGCGCCTTACATGTGAGCCATGGGAAGCAAGACGGACGTTTTTGCGTCTCAAGGGAGATGCACGGCAAAAGTTGCCAATCAGCTTGGCAAGCCTTCAGCCCCACAAGTGGCTGTACTTTACTGCAGCAAAAAAGTTCGTCCATGAGGCATGTCGGGCAGACATGGTTTCAGGGACTCACTTCCTGAGTTCATGGACTTCAGTCACTTTTTGGGCTTGGACCATGTTAGTGGTAAACAGCAAGTTTTTGTTGGCGGGGGCCAGCCAGGAAGTGAGGGGAGCTTGGGAACAACAAGTTTGGACAAGTTTTCGGGGCCATCCACCTCGGGAAGTGAGGGGAGATTGGGACACGCTTTCCAGGTGCTAGCTTCCGGCCCTCTCGCCTCGGTCGCCTGAGGGCTTCCGCCTTGGCAGCTGCCTCTGGCACGGGTGGTGGCAGCATCTTCGTGCCGGTGCTCATCTCCTTTTCCTACCTGCAGGACGGACTCCTTTTCCTCGGTTCCCAGTCCCTTAGGTGTTTGTTTTATTTGTTTTTTGGGTGGGGGGTTAGTCCTTGTTTGGTTTTTGGGTTTGCTGGTTTAGTGTGGGGGTTCCATGTGTACTTAGAGATTATTTTTTGACAGGGGATTTGAGGTGTTATTCGGGTTACTTCAAACTCAATGCTTGGCGAACCGTGGGGTTGGACTTTGAGACTTAGGAATATTATTCGAAATGTTAAATAAAGGTTCCATTGGGTGTGTTTCTTAAGTTTCCCTTAACCTCAAAAAGGGTAGCCTGAGAAAACACACCACACGCATTGTAGAGGACAGACAGTGGTGGCTTTCTTCTGACAGGCGTTCACTTTCTCAGGGGGTTTGAACCTAACCTGCACACCATTTTTTGTGAAAAGCTAGGGGTTCTGGCCGGGAGTTCAAACCAAATGGTTCTTTTCCAGGAGCCTCTCAGATGCAGATGCGCAACACAGCCGTTTGGGGGGAGGGGGGTTCTCCAGGCTTTAAGGTATCCCGCAGAGCAGCGCTACCTTTTTTGTTGATATGTCAACATCTATACGTGTTTGCTTGAGAGGCAAACACAAAGCCACTCAAATGAGCATTCCTAGAGTTTCCTAGATGCTCATGTGTTGTGTTGAGCGCTTCATCGATACCGCGTGTTTGGGGACAAGTTCCTAGTGACACAAAGACCGTGGTTCTGAAAGGAGGTCCCCATTGAGAGAAACCCGTTTTGACAGGATGCTTCTAATTTCTGTCGGTGAAGACGCTGGTCTTATCATGCAGTCACCGCTCATCTCCACGTGTGAAATGATTTAGAATTGGGCACATCCACCAAATCACGGCAAGAACATGTGGCTTTATCAAAACATGTTTGTGTCATTGCTGGCAAACCATCGCGTAGTTACTCGGGGCCGACCTTCTGGCCTTTCTTGTGATATTTTGCAGGTGTTTCCTTGTTTTGCGGGAGAAGGCATATGGGTGTATCTTTTTCGGGGGAACCCTCTTTTGGTTGGTTTCAATCGAAAGCGAAAAGGAAGAACACCATTCTGTGGGTTCCCCCTAGTTTGATATATGTATATAATATATATATATATATACATACACTGTTTTTTGCACCCCCACCCCCCGTGCCTGCTGCATATGTAAGGGAAGCCAGTTTCTTCTTCTTTTTTTGGCGGGGGGTACCATGTATGTATATATATATACTTTGGTGCAAATTCTTGGATGTTAGGACTTCAACTTTTTGCCAACTCATGGGTTTTCCGTATTAAACCACTAAAAGTTAGCCACTTATAGCAGGGCTTCGCAAATTTCGCCACCAAGTATATACATATGGGTGTGGCTCCAAAATCAACAGGAGGGGCAAACCGCAGGTCCACTTCCCAGGGCAACCCATTTTGGAATTCCGGATTTTTTGAGCCATACGATCAATCTGTCCGTCAGCTTGAGGGATTTTCGTCTCAGGAGTCTGCGGTGGTGGCCTTGTCGCAGTTCATGATCTTCGCCTTTGCCTCGAGACGCGAAAAAATCAAAGAGTTGGAGCGTGTACCTGGACCCGTTTCACACGCCTCACTTTGCAGGGCTCCTTAAAATTGATACAAATTTTGCGACCAGTTGAAACATGTGGCTTTTTCGACACCAACATAAAAGGACACCACCATTTACAAGTTGCAATGTTCAGGTGTATAATGTAAGGATCCCTGCTTTGGGGCGAAACAAACAGGTTTTAAGGGTAGTTTTGGGGGGCAAACATTCACATTGGACATGTTTTACGGGAAGTTTGAGGGTGCTGGCGCCGTTTTGGGTTGGGTTCAAGGGAATTCAAAAAGAAGTTCCATACAGTTCCAGGGTTGTGTGGGTGATCAACGCAAATGAATGTTCTTCAACCTCAAATAGACCAAGGTCAAAGGATCGCGTTTGTTGAGAACCCCTCGTGCTCAAAGCCGCTGCTTTTTGGTGACATCAACCACCCTGGTCTGAGGGTAGTACAATTGGCTGAATAATTACGAACAATGATTTCCCGTCAAGACTTAATTGAGTTGTTGTGTATGCATTCTAGTTCAATTTAGCCCCTTACATTGAGCAACAAATGAATCCCTGTGTTGAGGTAACTTCACCATGAGGTCAGTCAGGGCCTAGGACTCTGCCCATTTGAGTTACAATCAAAACCTGATATTATTTTTTTCTAATCAGAACCACGTAGAGAATTAAGAAGGCGGCCGCAGCCATTTATGGCCGGGATTGTCCCTTGCTAACGAGGGGCCTTCGAAGATTCCTGGGCCCTACTTTAGCTCCGGCTATTCTGCGCTGTTCCAGGAAAGGACATGGGGATATTGGTGAGTGGTGCCTGTAATTCTGGTGTCCCTCATGCCATGAGTAGAATGTTAGACTACCGCATTTCTGACAACCATTTTTCAGAATGTGCCCACGAGGTTGTAGATTGAGCAACGGCACGGAACGTATACAGTGAGCTTGCATTCCGCTGAATTTCGGTCAAACTCGATCATAATACATCAGCCGGCAAATCTAGGACAGACTTGTTGCATGTCCATCCACTGGTCTCTAGAAAACAGTCTGGATATGGCTTTTGTGGATGCACCCCTGCAGAATATTAAAAGAGTGCTAACAAAATACAAAAAAGGACGGGAACAACAGGTGAAATCCACACAAAACGTAAATACCCAGCATATTTTTAGTGCCCTCCACTGAAGGGCACTTGACGTGTTGTTGAATCGAGGGCACTTAAGGCCACAAAATGAATCGGGGGCACTGAAAAGAAGCTGGACAAGCCGTTTTCTAGATGGTCAACCACAAAAATAGTTCCACTGGGTCACTGAGAAACCTGTGACCGTGCGAGGTTGGCTCCATTGTGAACCTCTCAGTTTTCGTTGCCCGGAGGCGCGCATGCGTCGGGTTCTTTGGGGCTGGGGTTTCCGGTTTTTTTCGTACGGGTGTGATGAGCTTGCCCATGATGCAAGGTTCTTTTGTAGGCGTTCCCTTGTTTTCAGTTGAGCCACAAGCCAAATGTGTGGACAGAGGTCAGGAGAGAGTCCCAAAAATGATATCCGTCTTTACCATTAATTGCACAAATTTGGCTGGACCACTTGTTGTAAACGCTTCGCGTTGCCAGCCTCGGCCAGTCCGCTTCTGGCTGGCTTTGAGGTATATGCTGTGCTTTAGTTTGCCTTGAAGTGTTGTTATTAAAGTGAGTGAGTCGGCGCCGCAATGCGTGAGCTGGTTTCCAAGCTAAAGGGTGGATGCATGATCGCGCGATTCCACCTGGCTTCAAGGGCCAGAACGAGAGCCGCAGAGAACGCGATTCCACCTGACTGCTTGGTTGGGGGGAGGGGGTTGACGGGAGTTGGACCTGCTTTCAGAGGGGATTCCAGCTTTTGGGAGGAGGAGGTTGACCGGTTGCTAACTGGAGTTGAAGAGCTGCCCTCCGAGATATAGCCGAGTCGGAGCCAGACGTGCGTGGCGGAGCGAGCGTCAAGAGGCTGACAGTGCCTGACCAACATGTATGCGCAGCAGGAGTTCGAACCATGCATCGTTGAGTATATCATGGTCTGGGTTGGCATCCATGGAGAGCCAGACCTTGTTTTTCTGCTGCTGCGGAGATTGGTGCACCCACGCCTGCGAAGACATCCAGAATGAGTCCTCCTTGGCGCGGCTTGCTGGATTTTCGGTAATGGGTGCAGACTGTGCTTCCGGCTGTGACTGCAAGTCCGGGCTTTGATTGGCTTCTAGATGGGAAGTTGACCGGCTTCTACCGGCTTCGAGAGCGGTGACCAGCTTCTACAGTTGTTCAAAGGGATTTGGTCGGTTTTTAAGGAATTGGAGTGGTTTTTTGGAGTTGCGGGGTTGGATCAGGGAGAATCAAGGTCCTTGTCCTCCGGGCCCTGGGGGCCAGCTGCTTCCAGGCTCGCTTCAGGCAGACTGGAGGGAGCTGGAGCAGGGATTTTGGCCGCGCGAGCGGGGTCGGAAAGGGGCCTGTTGACCTGACAAGGCCTAGATTTTGATTGCGACTCAGTTTGGGGCTTATAGCAATATGGCTAGCGATTGATTGCGTTGAGGTCAAAAACTTGTTCAGCGCCAAAAACGTTTTTTTTGCTATGAATGTTAATGGGGAACCGCCTCAAAAGCGTTGGTGGACGTGAATTCCCACCTAAACAATGTGCACAAAAGGTCCCCAAATAGATTTTATGCTTCATGGACCAGGACCAACCGTGATATGTTGGGAAAGAACTTCCGAGGCTTTGGCCGCAGGTCTGTGAGCTTTGCGAGCTTGATTTTTCCACAGATTCCTAGTCGGGTCTCACCAAATCCGTACCCCACTATATCATGTTGAGAAAGCTCCATTCTTCCTAACGTTTTACCTTTTCAAGATTTGGGGGTACGAGTTTCGGGGGGAGGACCCCCCCCAACAAAATCATCCGGTGATGTTGGGAAACTTTGTAGGACAGGGTCGTTATCAAGACGACCGTTTTGACCCTTGCCAAGGTACCCTGGTCAGGTTGCTTTAAACGGACGCCAAAGGAAAACAACCAGGACATGTGGCTGTGGCTCAAAAACCGGTGCCAACATGGAGCCCCGGAAAGTGGAAACATGGACCAAAACCTGCGTAACCCCTCCTGTTTAATTTCGAGCCAAACCCATGTGCCTCCCCCGAATGTACACCCCAGGTTTGGTGGTGGAGTTTCGCCGCTTGCCGTAGCCATCAGCTTGTGCCAGGCATTTGAACAAGCACCTGGCTGCGACAACCACAGCAACAGCGCGTCGCGTTGCAACTCGAGACTTCCATGTGCTGAAATGAATATTTGGTTATTTCCCCTGTTGGTTTTACAGGGAATCCATCACTGGACATATTTTTGTTCCAGGCGGTTTAAGCAAATGAAAGTAGATCAAAAGGTGATGCTAAGCTAGGCCTTTTTCACCTTCCCCCGGTCGGAGCCTTGACCGAACTTTCTTGGTGTGGTGTTGAAAGGGGAACGCTTCAGCACGAAGGGAGCTCGGATATGCGGACCCTTCACTCAGACACCTGTGCGCGACTGAACTTCAAGCTTCGCTCGCCATGGGCGCCGTCACGTAGGGCAAGCCGTCGAGGCGTTCACGTGAGGGGACGGGAGGTTCTGTCCAGAAGGAAAGTCGGCTTCCAAAGGGCGCCACATGTGTACTTCCATGTGGGGGTTGATCAATATTTCGTTGGGCCCCCAAATGAGGTGACTCTTCTTTTAGTGGACAGTATGACATTTTTTGTGGTTTCCCCCAATGGTCATCTCATGTAAAGGACCTGTTGATCAACCCATGTGTTAGTTTGAAGGGTCATTAGGGACCTTGTGGTTCAGTTTGGGGCCGTGAAGGGGGCCGCTAACAGCACTTCAACTTCTCCTAACTTTGAAAGCCCAGAAAGGGGTCCCCTCTTCTGGGACATTGGGCCCCCCACGTTACTGGAAAGCCGCCCAAAGGCCCTTGAGTCTTTTGGAGGCGGGGTGCCAACGCCTTTTAGAATCGACCAACATGGGTTCACCTTTTGCTCCAGAGACACAACTTTTGAGTCCATCGAGGTTCGAGGTTCCTTTAAGAGCTCACTCGAGGCGTTTCCAAGGCTTCCCACTCGCAACATCTGGCGCGGCCCTCTTGAACCACAATGAAACCCGAATCGGGTAGAGGCTAGCAAGTTGCAGTCCCAACGGATATCCGCCATTTCGATTTTTTACATGGGTTCAGGCAGAGCGTGTTAATACCAGGCTTTGATTGTGACTCTCTTGAAGGAGACTATTGATTTCCTTTGGCAATGGTCGAAGGAAAATTGCAGGGAACCCTGTGCGCTTTGTGGCATCTTGCGCAAAAAGACCTCGTGACAAGGAAACTTCCTGAGTTACTTGGGCAGTTTGTTCTTACTGGTTTAAGAGTGACCGAGTGATACTGTTGTGTTGTGAGTTGCGAATCTTTTGTGCCGCCCCCATGTTCATTGAGTGTCCTTTGTTTTTTGTTATTGTTTTTTCTCCCATGAAGCTCCCTGCCCATTCCGTATGTCCGGTTAAAGAGTTGTAGTTACTTGTCCAATGGGGTTGTCAAAAAAAAGCATGGATTTTTAACCCTGCTTGAATATTGGGATGAACCACCTACCGACTGCTGCGAAGTGGATTTTATCCATCCAAAATATTTTGAAATACACCCAGAAGGTGGCATAGTCCCAGCCATACATAACTAGGTGCCGCCTTTTTCGTTCTTTAGTTCTGGGTCCGTTTTGATCCCATCGGTTTTGAATTTTGGCCTCTGGCTCTGTGGCTCAGATTTGACCTTTCCGCCCCGAAGACCGGACCAGCCGTTTCCGCCTGTGAGGCGAATGCCATGGAGGCTTCCGGGCGGTTTGAAGGGGGACCGCCTTCTCACTTCCTGAGTTCATGAACTCTAAACTTTTTGGGAAGATTGTTTTAGTGGTAAATATAAAGTTTGAACTTTTTTTGGGCCATCCACTCAGCAAGTGGCCTTAAAAACCGCGGCAGTTTCTTTGGGATCTTTCGGTGTTTTTTTTGGATTGTGCGGCAGTTCTCGGATTTTTCCAATGGGTCTTTTTTTTTGGTGGGTGACAAAAGGGCGGCCAAGGGGACCGCACTTTTTGCGGGTCCGAATCCGTATTTTGACATTTGCCGGTACAGAGGTTCCAACTGAGGGAAGCAGAACTGTGACTGGTATAGGGAGCTTTGAGCACAGACATTTACTCGGCATGGGACATATAGAGAGTCTATGAGAGTCCAAATGGACCTTTCATTTTTCTTGGTATGTATTTGTTGTTTGGTTGTTTGGAAATAAACAGCTACTTTCTTTGGCATATCACGATTTGCGAAGTTTTCCACAGGTCAAAGGTCGCTTTGTATGAACTCACAGTGGTCCTTGGATGTCCCTTTCCAATCCGAGCATCACCTGTTGTGCCGGGGTGACGCTTCAAGGAGGCATAGCAGGAGCCTTGAATCAGCTGCCCTAGTGAACCCCAAGCAAAGACCGACAACATTTTATACTTCTCAGTTGTTGAGAGCTGACCTTTTGACCTTTTGTGATTCCCTGTTTGGTCCATTTTGAGTCATGGCCCCAAAAGCTTAACCTTTTAGTTCTGCGTCCGTTGGGCAGGTGAGACTTACCTGCTCCATATCGACAGGTTGTGTCAGCTTCTTGTGACTGCAGAAGATGGGTCTGTTTTGTTGGAGGGTGCGCACACCAGCCCGTGGGAATCGCAGTGTTTCCCTTTTTTGGGATGGGTTTAAAGGCCAGCCAAGAGAAAAACCTTTTGTTTTTCTTGAGGGGTCCCTTCAAAACACAGACCCGGATGGTCACTTGAAACTTTGGTGAAAGAACATGGTTGTCCTTTGGAAAAGTACCATATTCTAGTTGTGTTGCTTGTTGGGTACCTTGTTTTTGGGTTTTTTCGTTTGAAATGAAACCAAAGGGACAACAACCACGTTGCGGGTCCCAATGCGGCACATGCCCATTTCCCAGAACCATCGAGCAGAAGGGCACCCGCCTCAGAAAGGCTTTTTCAGAGCTCAGGAGATTGACCCATGCTCCGAGCCTAGCCACTCGAAGTTGACCTAGAGAACATTTCTTTGGGCAGTTTTTTTTTCATTGGATTGGCTTACCTGCTGGTTTGGCGAACTTCAAACTGTTGGTTGGTTGGTCTCTCTAACATTTAAGACAAGCCCAAGCAAGTTCAGTTGCTTCAGCAGCTCAGTTGGGTTCCTGTTTGTCTCTTGTGGCGATGGGGTCACATGGGAGTCACCCCAAATGCCAGGCGCTCGATCCTCTGGAGACGGACTGCTTCCCAGGAGACTCCTTTGGCTCTTTGACCTCATGTTGAGAATACCCTTCACAATGGGTTTTTGTGTGAAAGACTTCACTCCTCAATCTTCACTTTGAACATGCCTGCTTTCGGGCTGCGGTGTTTTTTTGGGGGGTTCTTTTTCGCTCAGGCTGAGAGAGAGTGGCCAGTGGGGACTCGAGGGACCTCCTGGCTGTCCCTCTCTATTCTGAGTAGCCTCAAAACACCTCCAGGGCATATGGCTGTGGCTCAAACAAATGCAGCACCTGAAGACAAAAATATGGCTGTGGCTCAAACAAATGCAGCACCTATTAAAGACAAAAATATGGCTGTGGCTAGTATTCCTGTGGGGAGTTTGGGGTCTCAAAGGGACGTGGCTCAAACAAATGGACACCATTGCACCTGGGAAATGGAATCAAAGACCACCTTGGGTTTGCCCTGGCGGGCTTTCATTTGGAGCCACATCCATATGAGGTAGTGTAACTGTTCCTGGCATTTGTTGTTGCTTTTGTTGGTTTTGAGTTCTGTTCATGTCTAGAGGGTGGCTGCAGACAACCATGTCTTTTGCTGATGGATTGAAAAGGTAATGATAAGATATTAGATGCTGCTCAAATTCACCATGAAAAGAACAAAGCAAAGACATCAGGCCCCCCTATAACCCATCCCTTATGGTATTTTTTAAGGGAATCCCTGGGTTCGCTGGGCACCGATCGCAAGTTTTGGCACATACCACTGCAGGTTGGGGGGTTGGGGGGGGTGCGAGTATGGACATGGCCAGGCTTTGCCCTAAACCTAAAGAAGGCGACCGGAGACCGTGGCAACATCGAGTTCAAGTCCAGATGTTGTTTTTTCTTGTACGTAGACAAATATTTTATGTTCAGCTTCTGATTATTATTAGTACTGTATGTTTATTATGATGGTATTATTTTGTAGGGTACATGGGAGAAAGCAACAGGGTGGTTTTCGTTTCGGCTCCTCTTCAAACCCCGCAAAAGATAGGTGTGTGCTGCAACCCGGGTCCCGACCCCCCCCAAAAAAACAAACAAACAATGGGCTACACCCAGGCACATCCAACAGCTGGAGACTGCCAATGGTTTCTCTCCGAGTCAGTGCTCTCGAGTTGGCCTTCGAGATGGAAACACGTTCCATGGCTTTTGCATAACCTTTGCAGGTTCTGCACTTTTAGGGGCTCCCCTCGTGTTTTAAGAAAATCGGGGTCAAGGGTCAAACCCTAGGTTGCATAAGCATTGCCAGAGGGATCGCTTACCCTTTGCTTTTTTGGCCTTTTGGTGTTCCTGGGGTCCTGGGTCTGGTGAGCCTTGGGTATGAATGCTTCAGGAGGATGCAGCTGGCTGTGGAAGGCTCAAGCTTGAAGGGGGGCGGGGGCTTGAGCAACGGAAAGTTGGACTTGGAACCGGAAGCGGAGGTTGCCTGTGATGCGTCCATTTGCTTATTCCCAGTACCCCAGGTGTCTTTTTTTTGGGGGGGGGTTTCCACTTTAAAATGAATGCACAGAACATGATCCTTTTTGTTCCCGGTCACGTGGCTTGGCTTCACCCAGCCTTGATCACTTTCAATCAAGCCTTGTAAGAGGATCCAAGCGATCGGATTTCCAGAATTTTCTTTGGGCAGAGCCACAATAGAGCCTGGCGATGGTCCCCACAAATTGGTCCGGCTATCCTTTGGAGTTCTTTGCTTTGCTTTGCGCAAACCATTTTGATACCAGATTTGCAATTCTGACCCTTTGGGCAAGTTAGGTAATTCGTGGCAGGCGGGTCAATCCCACATGTGCTAAGCTCATGTCTCAATGTGTTGCAAGGGGCCAAGGGGCATATCCTTCGTGGAATTCCTTGGGTTTCTTTCTGGCCATGGGACCATGGGAAGGAAAGGGATGGAGACGGGAAATCCTGGATCCGGATCATGTCAAAGCCTGGGAAACGGGGATTCCTTGAAGACGGGGGGTCTTGGTGGTTCCCAGCCATCCATCCTCAGGTCTTTAGGTGTTTAGTTGGTTTAGCGGAGGTGTCCATTTGTCCCACTAAGAGCTAAACGTTCAACAGTGTTGTAACAGGGGATCTGAGACTTGACTGCTATTGGGTTACGGATCTTTAGACTTGAGCTTCTTGGTTGAAATAAAGTTGTGTTTTCCACACCCCCAAAGCTTAAAAAAGCAACAACAACAAACATTTTTTGCAGGTTCAACAAACTTTGCAGGGGGTTCAACAGCAACCAAGGAGACAGCCACCAGTTCAGCCGGCCCGCACTTTTTTCTTGGCCAGGGGTAGCTGTAGCTTGGACCTTGCGGGGCCCTCCCATTGGGGCCCCACACGGCACTGGGCTCTCCGAGCCCTGTCCTTGGCTTTGGGAGTTTGGTGGCGGAGCCGGCCATCCGGTTAGACGTTTTTTGTTGGTTTGGTGGGGGGTTCCGATCCGGGGCACCTGAGCTTTTCAGACGTTTTTGCTGGTTTAGTGATTCGGGGGTTCCGAATTTCACCCACTCAAAGTTCAGCTTTTAGCGGATCTGAAAACGGACAGCCCAGGATCAAAAGCTCTGTTAAACGCGGGTGACCATTGGGGAAGAGGGCACTTGGGGGGCCCAGCAATTTTGGTAAAAGGCCCGTTTCGGCCTTGCCTGTGTATTGTCTCCATTTTCCCATTTCACAGCCAGCGCACACCGACGTCGGTTTCCTTTGCAGGCGCGGCGGCACACACGAGGCCGGATTTCGAGGGTGGGGCTTGCACCTCACTCCGCGCGCGGGGGTTAGACTGCACCTCCTTGATGGAATTTGGGGACCCCCACCTCCCATCTCACCCAGTTTGGCCCGGGCAATGTTCGATTCTCCAACCTCGAAAAACGAGGTTGGCCGGGAGGTCCTCGAGCTGCCTGGATACTTTTTTGAACCAAACCGCTCAGATTCCAACACCCAACATCAAGGAGTAAGTTGGGATCGATCGAGGGGTCGTTTTTTTTAATTAACAAAAATTGAGCGCGTCGTTTTTTGCGGGGCCCTCCCGAAATGCGGTGTTTTTGGTTGCTCTGGTTTCGTTGACCCCGGCCAAACGGGTTTCCTCAAGAAACTCCCGTTTCCCAGGTCCCGACCTTTCTGACCAAAATGTTGGGTTCTTCTCTGGGCGCTTCAACAAAGTCAAAGCGGAGCTTCGAGGCTTCGCGCCTGGAAGCCGAAAGCTTCCCAGATGCTAGGTCCCCCAGCAATCGGTGCCCTTCACCCCTTTTTTGGTTGGGAGATTTTCGGAAGCCTACTCAAAGAGACTACAGAGAAAAGGGTACCCTTTTTCTAAACTCTCTACTGGAGGACCTAGGATGTGTACTATGTGTAGTCTATTAACCCAGGATAAGTAGAACCCGTCCCATTAGGGGGGTGTTCCCTCGAAAAGTGGTCTGAATCCAACCACTAAAAGCGGACACCCCCCGATCAAAGTCAACCAGGGGTTTATTAATCCGGGGTTAACATTACTCTGTTGCCCAGTGGATTCCGCAAACTTCTTTCAACTTCTTTAAGCTCAACCAACAAAAGAAGGATGCCGATTATTTTTTCCCATGGCCACTGGGCATCTGAGTGTACAACTTTGCTCATCCATGAGGTTTGCTTGCGACACTAGTTGCATATGACCAGTTCGAAATAGCGGCATTACCTCTTTATACCCCTAGTATTTTGGGAAACTCCAGGTAGTTTGTCCAAATGCCAACGGCTTAGACCTCCAATTTCCAGAAGCTCCGGAAATACGACCGCTGGGTTGTGGGAGTTTTAGATGATGTTTTGCGTGATACCGAGGGGGCTTCCTTTCAAACGAACAAGTAGTCACCGGAATGGCCCATTTTGATATCACAGAAAAGAGGGGGGCCACAACCGTGCCTTTCTATTGATGGCATTCACCCTTTGCGCGGGTAGTTGCCCCCATTTGTTTCTCAATTTCCGGCCACATGTCCAGGCGCCTCACCTTGAAGGTCAGGCTTGTTGAAGTATCACTGAAGCAGGTTTTCCGCAAGAGTCCTTTGCTTGGGGGATGCTGACGGGGTCTAGTTGAAGTCTGTCAAGGAAGATGCCCGAATGTCACCAGCAGCAACCAACCAGAAGATGTCTAGGTCCCTCAGTAGTGCCCTTTTACCCTTTTTGGTCGGGAGGGTTCGCCTACTAAAATAGACTACAGATCAAAGAGTACCCTTATTCTAACCTCTCTACCGGAGGACCTAGATGTGTTTTTGTTTTGTGAGTACTGCAATCAGCCAGTAGTGGCGATCATTCACCCAGTAGTGGCCAGAAGTTGCCGTGTCAATAATGCCCCGAGGGTCCAACCAATGCAATCATATACCAAAGTGGAAGCAACCGCATGTCTTTCAAACTCACGTTGTTTTAGAAAGTTTTCGCGGCGCCAATGCAAAATCCGGGAGGGGGGCAGGCTATGAATCTTTTTGGCATCCCCTTTTGAGTCAGGCGGCGCAGGGAGGGTCCAACAAGGGGCCAATTTGTTTGACAACTCATCGCGCGCACAGAGGTGAGAGCCACGCGCAGGAGACCGACGCAGGCGGGGAGGGGAGATGGTTCGAGTTTGTCTTTTGGTTTGGTTGGCAATCAAACGCCAATGGGGCGCTCGTTTTCTGAAATCCACTGGGGTTGGGTCACGATGATTACCCTCAAGAACGGACACACCTACGTGGATGAGCGGGGCTGGCCATAGAAGGCCTCGGCACATGTTTTCTGTACCAATTCCTGGGGATAAAGTAGTCACATGCGGGTTGGGGTTGAGGGGTTGAGAAGTTGAGGGGTTGAGGTGAGGGGTTGAGGGGTTGAGGTGAGGGGTTGAGGGGTTGAGGTGAGGGGTTGAGGGGTTGGGGTGAGGGGTTGAGGGGTTGGGGTGAGGGGTTGAGGGGTTGAGGTGAGGGGTTGAGGGGTTGGGGTGAGGGGTTGAGGGGTTGGGGTGAGGGGTTGAGGGGTTGAGGTGAGGGGTTGAGGGGTTGAGGTGAGGGGTTGAGGGTTGAGGGGTTGGTTTGTGAATGTGGGTAATTAAGGGTCAAATTAAAGCACCAGGAATTGGACCGCAGGTTTTGGTCCATGTAACCCCACTTACTAGGGCAACCCATTTGGGGTATCTATTTTTGACCCACAGCCATATGGGAAGCCCAGAAGAGCCTCTTGGGTCCATGTCTTATGCAATTCTGGCGACTGTTGAATGTCACCATGTTCCCCTTTTTGCTGTGCTTTCCGCTCTTGAAAGCAAAGCATAGCCCAAAAAGGGGGGGTTCTTCTTCTACTCCTTTTGAGCTTCCGGAAGAGGGGAATCTTGCCAACGCGACCATTGGGTGCACATGAGTCCGAGCATGAAGGGCTGGGCGACGTTGGTTTAAACCTTTGCACTTTTTTCCTTGGTGGCTCTCCATTTATTTGTGTGGTGGCCCAAAAAGTGTGCACTTTTTTTTGGCTGGTCACCTGGCCAAGTGAGAAAAGCACCGGAGAAGGAGGCTGTTAACAACTCCTCTTCAATCGTGTTTAAACATTGGCTGAACCCTGCTTGACACGCCAATTAGGCCTGAGCACTGGGAACCCTTAGATAGTCTTTCAAGCAAAGCCAAAAGGCTATGGGAAGAAACGCCGCGGCTGCTTTGGTCCCCGAAGAAACGAAGTGAGAATTCTGGAGTTGGTTTGGCTCGCTAGACGATGACTAGAGGCAAGCTTTGGGCTCGGTCAATGCCAGGGCCAGAGCCGCAAAAGACAACGCCCCGCGCTCAGCTCCACGTGGATTTCGGTTTTGCGGCGCTGACAAAACTCTAGGCCTACCTTCCATTTCCATTCTTTCCAGGGATCCGAATCTTTTCAGGAAACCATCCAAAACCCAGGGAAACAGCTGGTTTTTGCAAAGAACGATGGTTGAAAATAATGGAGAATCAACCCTAGAAAAACCATAAATCAACCCGCAGGCTGAATTCGCAAACCGGGCCCACGGGACGGGTTGGCCCTAAGTCTTTCTTTTTAGATTGGTCAGACCATTCCCTCCCTTGTCTTCTGGAACGCATAGGTTCTGGGTAGTTTCATGGCGAGCACACCGATCTGAGTGTAAACCGAGCGTGATATGTTCCTCATTTCAAGGCTTGCGTTTGCAAGCATTGCGGAAGGTTGAATGTAGGAGAGGTTACCTGGCCTCAAGTTTCATGCCGCGCGAGGCTGGAGTGTGACGAAGATGGGGTGTCGGCAGCTTATCTCTGGCTGGGTTTGTGAGTAGCGAGAAACAATCACTGGGCCACCCATCTCCTGGGAAATCCAAATGTGTGCTGACTGATCCTAGTTGAGTTTGCGAACTGGTTGTTGCTCGACTCCCGAGTTGGCACACTTTTAACTTGCCTAGGTGTTTTCATGCTTTTGTCAAGCTCGGCTCGTCGGCTGCCAAGGTCGTTTTGTGGAAGGGTCCTCTGAAAGGCAAGCCCCACTTGTTTTCTTGTGGGGAAGGGGTCCGTCAACAACCCTATACGAACACATGGACCGTGTCTCTATAGCCACAGCGTGGACATGCTGTTGATGCCACTGAACACATGTGATTACATACCAGAAAAGCTCAAGGTGCATCCATAATCAGGCATGTTTGTGGAAAAAACTGTTGCTGTGATACAGAGGGAATCCTTCTTTAAAGTGATACCGTAAAGAATTCAAGGGAAGCAGATATCACAGATGTCTTTTTGACAACCACGCAACCCGCAACCGGGGGGGGGAGAGTTAAAGGCCAAAGGTGTTGGAGGGTGAAGTGGTCAAAAGTCGAAAGACACACTCTTGGATTTGTGAAAACCTGGCAAACCAAAACACATTCCCCAAAACCGATCCGGATGCCTTGAACATGAATCGCTATGTATTGCTCATGGGTTTGCATCAACGTCCACGTTGATGAGTTTCTGATATTTTCATTAGGGCACCCTCCCCTCGTGAGACATGATTTCTTTGTTGGTTGAGATTCATTTCACTTCCCGAGTTCCTGCACTTTACTTTTTGAGAAGACAAATATAGCGGCAAACCAACAGTTTGGGGGAGCTTGTCTAGCGAATTCACTCCGCAAGTGAGTCATGCATCTAGGAATCGGGGTATGGAAATTCGCCGACGGCGGTTTTTTCCCGTGCTCTGCGATCCGCGCCGAAGGGGGGGGTGAAATTCTGCGGAGCACGTCAAGGGAAGACGTGAAATCTGAGTTCTGAGGTTGTCAGAGCAGAGATGATTTGCCAACTGTTTGGTGGGTGCAGGGCCCCTGGAACACCAGGAACCCGATGAGCTTTTTCTGTCAGGGCTTTCTTGGGGCCTTGCTGGCCCCGCTGAAATCCTCTTGGAGGGGTCCAAATTGACTTCCCCAAAAGAGGTGGGCCAGGCTGGCTGGCTGGCTGGTTGCTTGGTTGGTTCATTGGTTGGTTGGTTAGTTGGTTGGCTGGCTGGTTGGTTGGTTGGTTCATTGGCTGAATGGTTGGTTGGTTGGTTGGTTGGCTGGTTGGTTGGTTGGTTCATTGGCTGGTTGGTTCATTGGCTGGTTGGTTGGCTGGCTGGTTGCTTGGTTGGTTCATTGGTTGGTTGGTTGGCTGGTTGGCTGGTTGGCTGGTTGGTTGGTTGGTTGGTTGGTTGGGCGAACCAGGTTTAAGCAACCCTGCTTCCCAGCCTTTGCTCAACTCGCAAAGGCCCTGGTTTCGGCGAACCAACACCTGCTTCGAGAAGGAGACTGGCTTCGAGTTCCACTCCCCCCCGCTCACGACCCAACAAAAAAAGAGACTGAATCCCATACGCAGCAGCACCCTTTTTTCCTTGAGGCGTTCTGTTCCGGGAGTCCTTTGCAAGGAGCCAACAAAAAAAGCGTCCTTTGCAAGGAGCCAACAGAAAAAAGCGTCCTTTGCAAGGAGCCAACATAAGAAGAAGAAAAAAGAAGAACCGGCCTGTCCCTTTCTTCCCAAGGCCACTGGGCCTAATGGGCGGGCCGAGGTTCGGCCCGAAGCTCGGCCCGAAGCAGTTCAATGGACCCTTGCGTCACAGGCTTCGGCCCTGGGAAGTTTCAAGTCAAAGCAAACCACACAGGGCTGAGTGTTTTTCAGGGTACCTCTTATTGGTTCGGTGTTTGTTTCTTCTTTCTTTTCTGTTTTTCTAAGGGAAACTACAAGTAGCACCAGCAGTTACGGGGTCCCCCTGCTTCTGGACTCGTCAACGAGGGTTTCGACTTGTACGGGGCAGTGCCATTTCGCAGCACAGGGAGAGTTCCCAGGGTACTTCTTTAAGAGAGCGGCGGTCAAAATGAACCCTTAATCCTTATACCAAATGGTAGCCACTAAGGATTACAGATTTGAATGTGGAGCGCAACCCATTTTTGCAGGACTCTGTTGGTCTTAGCTGACACCCCGGTGAATCCACAATTGTGGATAACACCCCAGTTTTGCGAGTAATTTCTGCCCTCGGCACAGGATGGCGAGCCCTTCGTTTCGCACTTCTTCACCGACAAGGCATTTCCTCAAGTCCCACATCCAAACCCGCTTTGTCTCTCCAATGTTCATGTGGGTATTGGTCAAACTTAAACCACCAGGGGACCGCAAGTGTTGGTCCATGCTTTCACTTACCAGGGCTCCATTTGCGGGTAGATGAAGGTTAGTAAGGGGCAGTTCCAGACAGAAATAGTTGCGGCCGCCTTTCTTAATTCTTTACATGGTTCTGGGTAGACCATTTTAATACCGGGTTTGGATTGTGACTCATGTCCTTCTTGGGTCAAATGGCAAACGATGTGTAACAAGGGGGCCCAATGGTTTCGTTGGGTGCGGACTGACGGGTGACGGGTGACCATGGCTGTTCATTTGGCATCAGCGGGGTGGGCCAGTTTTGCCCTTGACTGCTCGGCGATTTTTCATACACACATGTCTCTTTGTGGGTAAAAGGGGGGTAACGTCTTGCCGGGCACGCTTTTTCATTCTGGGGTGGGAATTTAGCTTAATTCCCACGTGCAGAGGAGCTAGGATTGGTTCAGGCAACACACATGGAATAGTTGTTGCGAGACTTACTTGCCAAAAGCCAACCTTTCGACCTGTTGGTTTTTCCAGTGTTCTATTTTTAGTCCAGGTCAGAGAAAACACACAGGCGTGCCAGTCCAGAAAAGTTAAGACGGGATACTTTGAGCACATAGTGGTGTTCAGCCTTCAGTCGAACATGGCAACACCGCTCCTCAGGGAATACGGATCTCCCTCTCTCTCTCTCTCTATCTCTCTCTCTCTCTCTCTCTCTCTCCTTCTCTCTTTCTCTCTCTCTCTCTTTGCCTCTTTCTCATAATATATTATATACATACATACATCTAGGTATATACTTTCATCTGGTTTAAACATCGCCTGTTGGGCTGTTTTGAAGAGCTTCCTCTTGGAGCGGTTTGTGAAAATATGTGGAACCCTGGAGAACCAACCTGGCATGGAGCTAGGGCTTCGAATTAAGGGCGTTCGATCTCTTACGAAGGACAAACATGTGCGTAACATCAAACAGGAACCAACTTTATTCCTTTTGCTTATATAATTGAGAATATGATGTTTCCTTGGTGGTTTCAAAGGAATCTATCACTACATGGAAATACCATCATTTGTGGCAACCAAGTGACAAAGTTGAGATTCCCGAAAGTGATATCTTTTATGCAAGGCACCCCCTTTTGCTTGGTGGAAACCCCACGAGAGAGCAAAAGGAGCACAGCCATTTCGGGGTCCCAAAAACGAGGACAAAAACAAAACAACAACACCCAGAAAGTGGTATAAACTGCGGGTTCGGATGAAACTAAGGTTGGTCATGGTACCTGGAGTCTCCATGACCCTTTAAAATAGGGTAACACCTTGTATTTTGGGTAAGGACTCCACTTTTTCAGGGTCATGGAGACTCCAGGAAACCTACTTTTCTCCGCACGTGTCGCCAGGATCTTGAGGGCCAAGTGTACAAGCGCGGGAAGAGCCACTTCGAGGACGCCATAGGCGCGTTTGGTCCGGGGGCACTGTAACCACCCCAAAGCTTTCCAGGATTCCTACCCAAACCTGTGACGTGGTTTGCTTAGGCTGGCTTTTGTGTGGGGTGGGGTGGGTTGACGAATTGCACATGTCCAGAAATTGGTGATCAAGCAGCCGATGTTTTCAAGTTTCTGGTTCCGGAAGTGGCAGCGCAGTTTGCACCAGGCGTTTATCCTCCGAGAACGCATCTCGGTGGTAAAGCAATGGGGCGGCGGGCTGTGGGATCGATCGTTTGCGATTTGCAATATGTTCTTGAATGCTCGCGCCATCCCCACCCTGCGAAAAAAGGAATTAGGGGAGGGGGGCACCCCTGGATTCCATTTGCGGCAGTCCATTTTCCCGCAGGGAAAGACTCGAAAGTGGAGTTATGGTTGCGCCACGTAAGTCCAACCCCTCAAAAGTGACCCCACTTCAACAAATTACGTGGGGGGCTTATCATTCAGAGGTTGACAATCATACGAGGAGCTGCATATTAACTTACACATGCTGATCCAATGATCATAACCTATGATTATCTCAAAGTACTGAAGCCCTTGCAGCACTAGGTTGTGATTCTGACTCATCTGAGGTTGGTCAAAACTTTAGAGCCTCCGGCTCAGTCCGCCGACATTGTCCTCTCCCTTTTCTCCTTCTTCCTCTCTTCCTTGTCTCCCTTGTGTGTTCTGTCGTCCTCTCTCCCTCCCTCTGCTCCCATCCTCCCCATCCCCCCAAGCCTCTCTCTCCCCAATCTCCCTCTCTCGTATGTATGCATGCATGTACTGCATGTATGTATGCATGTATGCATGTATGTATGTATGTATGTATGTATGTATGTATGTATGTATGTATGTATGTATGTATGTATGTATGTATGTATGTATGTATGTATGTATGTATGTATGTATGTATGTATGTATGTATGTATGTATGTATGTATGTATGTATGTATGTATGTATGTATGTATGTATGTATGTATGTATGTATGTATGTATGTATGTATGTATGTATGTATGTATGTATGTATGTATGTATGTATGTATGTATGTATGTATGTATGTATGTATGTATGTATGTATGTATGTATGTATGTATGTATGTATGTATGTATGTATGTATGTATGTATGTATGTATGTATGTATGTATGTATGTATGTATGTATGTATGTATGTATGTATGTATGTATGTATGTATGTATGTATGTATGTATGTATGTATGTATGTATGTATGTATGTATGTATGTATGTATGTATGTATGTATGTATGTATGTATGTATGTATGTATGTATGTATGTATGTATGTATGTATGTATGTATGTATGTATGTATGTATGTATGTATGTATGTATGTATGTATGTATGTATGTATGTATGTATGTATGTATGTATGTATGTATGTATGTATGTATGTATGTATGTATGTATGTATGTATGTATGTATGTATGTATGTATGTATGTATGTATGTATATGTATGTATGTATGTGTATGTATGTATGTATGTATGTATGTATGTATGTATGTATGTATGTATGTATGTATGTATGTATGTATGTATGTATGTATGTATGTATGTATGTATGTATGTATGTATGTATGTATGTATGTATGTATGTATGTATGTATGTATGTATGTAATGTAAGCAAGTAAGTAAGTAAGTGTATGTATGTATGTATGTAATGTAATGTAATGTAATGTAATGTAATGTAATGTAATGTAATGTAATGTAATGTAATGTAATGTATGTAATGTATGTATGTATGTATGTATGTATGTATGTATGTATGTATGTATGTAATGTATGTATGTATGTATGTATGTATGTATGTATGTATGTATGTATGTATGTATGTATGTATGTATGTATGTATGTATGTATGTATGTATGTATGTATGTATGTATGTATGTATGTATGTATGTATGTATGTATGTATGTATGTATGTATGTATGTATGTATGTATGTATGTGTATGTATGTATGTATGTATGTATGTATGTATGTATGTATGTATGTATGTATGTATGTATGTATGTATGTATGTATGTATGTATATGTATGTATGTATGTATGTATGTATGTATGTATGTATGTATGTATGTATGTATGTATGTATGTATGTATGTATGTATGTATGTATGTATGTATGTATGTATGTATGTATGTATGTATGTATGTATGTATGTATGTATGTATGTATGTATGTATGTATGTATGTATGTATGTATGTATGTATGTATGTATGTATGTATGTATGTATGTATGTATGTATGTATGTATGTATGTATGTATGTATGTATGTATGTATGTATGTATGTATGTATGTATGTATGTATGTATGTATGTATGTATGTATGTATGTATGTATGTATGTATGTATGTATGTATGTAATGTAATGTAATGTAATGTAATGTATGTAATGTATGTATGTAATGTATGTAATGTAATGTAATGTAATGTAATGTAATGTAATGTAATGTAATGTAATGTAATGTAATGTATGTATGTATGTATGTATGTATGTATGTATGTATGTATGTATGTATGTATGTATGTATGTATGTATGTATGTATGTATGTATGTATGTATGTATGTATGTATGTATGTATGTATGTATGTATGTATGTATGTATGTATGTATGTATGTATGTATGTATGTATGTATGTATGTATGTATGTATGTATGTATGTATGTATGTAATATGTAATGTATGTATGTATGTATGTATGTATGTATGTATGTATGTATGTATGTATGTATGTATGTATGTATGTATGTATGTATGTATGTATGTATGTATGTATGTCTGTATGTAATGTATGTATGTATGTATGTATGTATGTATGTATGTATGTATGTATGTATGTATGTATGTATGTATGTATGTATGTATGTATGTATTTCCCGCAAAAAAACACGGTTTTTCCAGCGTTTTCGCAAAGAGGACGTCCAAAAACATTGAGTTTTTCCAGATTTTCGGCAAAAGGATGCAGGAAGCCCAAGCCAGCAAAAAAGCCGGCAGGGGGGAATCGAGCCTGGGACCCCTGTTTTGCGACACCGGCTCCCCGAAGACTACGTTTAGTGGAACGTCATGAAATTGCTGCGCGGTACGTGGGGGACACACCCCCCCCCCCCAAAAAAAAAAAAAAACCTACGTAATAGGGGTTAGGGGGGGGGGTTATCCTCTATCCTCTAGTAAGTATCCGACACGCCGAGCAATGTCGGCGGCTTGCTCAGTTGCTCTCGCCATATAGAGAAGCCACCTAGTTTAAGACTATTTCTCAGCTGAGGTTCGACCGGCGCTTGACGACCAACATTTGGCAGGCCGATGGGTTGCCAGCTAGCAAGGGGGTTGTAGCAAGGTGGGGTCGCAGAGCAGGGTTTGCCTATCCAGCCTGTTTGTTTCTTGCAAACCAGAACACTGCTTTCAGTATGCTTTCCAAAGAAAGCCATTCCAGCAGGCTAGTCCTTTTCAGCTGGCAAAGGGTAAGGCTGCCATGTCACATGCTGTGTGCCAGGTCAGACTGTTGCCAAGCAAAACGCCAGGGCGGCAGCGTGTTGAGGGGATGAAGAAACCCATGGTTTATTCTGTGTTTCCTCCATTACCCTTTTTGGAACCTCCAAAACTGGGTGGAAAGCACCAGTAAATTGATCAACGTTTTACTCCGCCAGGTTGGTTCACCGCGGCCGAGCATTTGCCCTTTTCATGATCATACTGCGGATGGACGAAATCATGTCGTCTTTGAAACCATGGAGAACCATTGTCTCTTGGTTTTTTCGGGGAATCGTCATTCCAGGGTCTCTTCGGTGGTGCAGGATTCAATTTGGACAAGTTTGGACGTAGGATTGTGATTTGGACCCCGTAAATTGGTGAGAGTTCCGTTCCATAACACCTCAATCCCCTGGTTCCCAACAAGCGAGTGATGCCAGAGGTTGTTTCATGAACCTGCAAAAACCTGGAGAAACAACAAAAGGTGTCTTACCTGCCTGTAGAATTTCCCGCCGGTTTCTCCATGTCTTTTTTGGAGTAGGTACCTCCTTTGCCGGGTCCAAAGGAAACCACTCGCTTTTGGGGGGGGGCGTCCTTCGTCCTCAAGAAGACGAGCCACCCCAGTGACTCGATTTTTGTGCCAGTCGACGCTGGCAGCCTCCATGCTGGAAGCCGGGCTGCGCCTCACTGCGCTCATGGCGCGTGAGATTTGGTCGCGTCGGTCGCGGGCAAAGATTGTTGGTTCCCGTTTCTCATGGAATCCTTGAGGGATGCGTAGGTGCAAGCTGAGAGCCCCTTTCGCGTTTTTTAGGGAGCGTTAAGGGAACCCCCCCCACCAGTCCAAGTCAACATGGCCCAGTGATTCCTTTTGCCTGTAGGTAACCAACACCTTGCCAGCCTTTAAAAAAAGACAAGAGGGAGATGGCAAAGGGTTCGCTGCTATAGAGGGAACTGGAATTTACAGGGTGTGTGTGTGTGTATTCCTGTTTTGAGAAACCCCCTTTTGGTCGAAGCACCAACTGGGCCTTTTCTCTGTGTGTGTGTGTGCCAAAATCGGGCTTCTCCCCCCCCCAAAAAAAAGGACAAAAAAAGAAGAAACAACTGGTGGGTGTCCAGTTGATTCAACCGATCTGGAAAGGGACCCCTCAACAGAAACACACACCCAACTGCCTTAATTTCTCCCATGTTCAATCTTACCCCGCAAGTATTCGAGAAAAACAGCCTCAGTGTCCGACAAAACCAACCAGAAGCAGTAAAATCATGATCAAGGCTCCTGGCCTCTGGCAGAAAAACATGCCCTTCAAGGGGTCAAAACCGGTGCACTCCGGCCTAGACTTGAGTTTGCATTCACAGCTTGTCCGGGCCAACTCAAGTGACACTCTCCCTTCAAATCCACAACATGTTCATGGGGGGGGTGGCAGAAGGGGTCCGAGTTTGGATTTTTGTGAGGAAGGGGGCAAAGTAATATATATATATATATACATATTGTGTATACATATATCTACGATAATGTTGGCGCTTGATTAATAAAGGGCCACCCACCCCCCCCTGAACAATGGAGGCGCCAAAACAATGGGGTTGCACTTTTGGGACGTCCAAGCAATGGAGTTCCTTTTTGCAGTTCTACTTTAGTATTGCAGCCACTTCCTTTTTGCAATTCTACTTTAGTATTGCAGCCACTTTCTTTAGTATTGCAGCCACTTCTTTTTTGCAATTCTACCTTAGTATTGCAGCCACTTCCTTTTTGCAATTCTACCTTAGTATTGCAGCCACTTCCTTTTTGCAATTCTACTTTAGTATTGCAGCCACTTCCTTTTTGCAATTCTACTTTAGTATTGCAACAACTTCTTCCTGAGCAGACTGTTTGGAATACTACTTTAGTGTTGCAACCACTTCTTCCTGAGCATGCTTTTTGCAATACTACTTTAGTATTGCAACCAATTGAAAGGGGAATGCTTTTGAGTAAGGCAACTGATAGCTTATTTTCTGGGAGGGGGGGCTGGGGGCTTGCCACTATTGTGGTCCCCTAAAACAATCACATTATTGTGGTTCAGTGGGGTCTGTGAGGGGTACCCTTGTCCTGATTGTTCTTTTGCATTTGTTTAACACGGTTTAATAAAGAGTTTGCAATTACAGGGCTGGGGATGGTTTTCAAATTTCAGAGGTTTCAGTGGTTGAGCAACCAATTGAAAGGGGAATGCTTTTAAGCAAGTGGGCCACCAATTGAAAGGGGAATGCTTTTAAGCAAGTGGGCCACCAATTGAAAGGGGATGCTTTCAAGCAAGTGGGCCACCAATTGAAAGGGGAATGCTTTTGAGTAAGGCAACTGATAGCTTATTTTCTGGGAGGGGGGGGCTGGGGGCTTGCCACTATTGTGGTCCCCTAAAACAATCACATTATTGTGGTTCAGTGGGGTCTGTGAGGGGTACCCTTGTCCTGATTGTTTTTTGCATTTGTTTAACACGGTTTAATAAAGAGTTTGCAGTTTCAGGGCTGGGGATGGTTTTCAAATTTCAGAGGTTTCAGTGGTTGAGCAACCAATTGAAAGGGGAATGCTTTTAAGCAAGTGGGCCACCAATTGAAAGGGGATGCTTTCAAGCAAGTGGGCCACCAATTGAAAGGGGAATGCTTTTGAGTAAAGCAACTGATAGTTTTTTTTCTGGGAGGGGGGATGGTTCTTTCAAATTAAAATTGCTTTGTGGAGTTTGTTTTTTGAATTTCCCCCCCGGCCAAAAAACTTTCTATTATTCTGGTCCCCTTAAACAATGGGTGTGAACCATAATAAGGAAAACTTTCTATTATTCCGGTACCCTTTGCTAATCGGGTGCCAAGATGATTGGAGTCGTTTGGGAGGTCTGTGTTTGCAGGTATGAAGGGCAAAACCTTTTGCCATAGTGTTGCCGTCCGCGAAAGCTTCGTGGTGGAGGTCGCGAAAGTTGTTTTTCTCGCGAAGGTTTTGTGCAAGGGTGGTTTGGAAGATCGAAGGATGAGCCATCCATGTCTGCCGGCAGTGCGCGCAGAATGCACACTAAAGTTGAACGGAGGAAAGCGCGATCGCCGCAAGAATACGTCGCTGCAAAAGCACCGCCCAGAAGAAAGTATTTTGTGGGAGTTGACCGCAACTTTCCAGCTGGATTTTGGGAGTTTTGTGGCGTAAGATATGCGCAAAAGTTTCGTGAAAGACGATGGATCTGCAGACATGGGTGGCAAACGGTGTGCTGTTGCGCAGCCTGCGAGTTGGAGCTGCACTTCGCGCTGTGGAAGTGTACTTCGTGTCTTGTGTGGTTGTGGTTTTGAAACATCGCCCTGTGAAACCTTCTCGACGGTCGCGAAAGCTACTTTGTTCCGTGAAGATGATGTGTTAGGGCGCAAGGAATCGCAGACAACAACCACATAACTACAAATTCATACACACATTATATATATATATATATCCCCCCCAAGCCCGTGTTTTGGCATGCCTCATTGATTGCCAGACGCGCATGAAGGCAGTCTTTTTGAACCAGCGCCCATGAATTCAGTCATCAGCCATTCGCAAAGTGTCCCAGATGCAACCCACAAATCATGGTTTCAATACCAGTATTGGCGCTGTGCAGAAGACCCTATGGTATACCTTAGCATTCTGGTTGATGGTCAACCTCTCCTTCAAATACTTCCAGGCTCGATCAACCACCTGTGTCCCGGGCTTCACGGTCACCATCTTCTTCATGATTGGGTTCTTATGCTTCACGAGCTTCACATAGGTCGGGGCCTTCCACTTCTATTGGCCCTTGACTTTGACCCGCTTCTTCATGGACCACCTTGCCGTGGAGCATCCCAGGCACCTTGGTCTTGTAGCTCTTGGCCGAGCCAGTGGGCAGGATCACCAACCACTTCTTTGCCAAAGGAGTCCACTCCACCTTTCTGATGGCGCCAGGCCCGGGAGCTCTCTCTCAACTCCTTCAAAAACAGCCTGCTCAACACAAGTGTCTCCGGGTGGCCTCTTGACGCCACTGCTCCCAAACGACCGGGTTTGTGGGGTCAGGGGCTGTGTTCCCAAGGCCCATGCGATCGTCTTGTCCCCCTCAACATCCGGCAACCTCTTGCCCTTCTCATTTGCCTCCACCCATGTTTTGCGAGCATGACACAGCTCTTGTCAAGGTCCTCGATCATTTTGTGGTTGACATGAAGAAGACGGGACATGAGGAGGGCTGCCTGTGTCTGGCAGGACTGCAGCCACGGCCATCCACGAAAAGAGGGTGCAGGTGCTGCGGGTTGATGTAGACACGTGTCCAACGGGAGCACCAGTGCTTTGGCATGCCTGTGCCAGCATCGACCTTGAGCCCAGACAAGGTGCCCTTCTCACCGCAGCATCTTCACCACGGGGTAGCTGTAAGCAGCTGAGTCAAAGACATCTTCCACTTGAAGCGGTCCTTTCGATGCCCGCCAGGTCCAGCTGCCTGTGAACTAGCTGCCGTTCCTGCCTCCCAACATCTTCCACTTGAAGCGGTCCAGTGTACTTCAGCGTCCCATGTCTTGTCTTCTTCATAGCAGGCCTCTTGAGCAGTGTGCGGCCTTTGCCCCTCTTCGGATCAGGGAAAGGGTTGAACCTGGCCACCATTGTGAAGTAGGAGAGAGCGAGCTAAGCAGTAAGCCTAGAAAGCCAAAAGACCTGAAAGCATGTGCGTGTGAGGGAGATGCGTGACAATTCTTTTTTCACAGGCACAGGCGCGCTGCAGACTGCAGCCGCAAGCGCCTTTTTCCTGATGAGAGCTGTGAGCGGTCTGTGTTAATTAACCAAAGAGCCCCTGTGTTATATGTGTCAAGCGCGCACTAGTTTGTGCATGCGTACCATTGGAGGTAGCCACTGTCTCACACACGTGCGAATATACCACAGTTTCCCACGCCCCTTTGCAAAATGCTCACTCCAAGCTGCCGTGACCGAAGGGGTTCTCCTCATGCTCTCACTCTTCCTCCTCGGCCTGCGTGTTATCCTCGTCATCCAAGACAATGAAAATCCTGTTGGCCTTCAGCTCTGTGCTCCACACCTTGGCCTTCTCCAAGGCCTTGTCTGCGGGCTTTCTTGATCTCTCTCTTAACTTTGACCTTGGTCTCCAGCTGCTCGAGGCAGGACTTGTTTTTCTCACGCCCACGAACGAGCTGCCTCAGCTGCCAGCTCTGCTTGTACTTGGGGTCCGGCTTCTCTTGCTTCTGCTTGAAGACAAGCTCAAGCCAGGCTTGCTCTTGGCACACCTCCTCGAATTTCTCGGCATTGTCCTTGTACTTGTCATAAAGCATCTTTCCTGTGTGAGAAAGTCCGGGCCTTCCACGAAGCGGCGTGCCACCTTGTCCTCGTTAACTTTAGAGGGGCGGGCGGTAGTACACAAACTTCTTGGTGTTGAGGATAAGCATGCCCGCTTGAAGTCTTCTAGCTCTTCAAAGGCAGCCTGCTTGAGCTGTCCCCCCATGCTCTCCAGGCTGTACTGGAGAATCTTCCGGCCCGCTGCTGCCTCACACACACAGCGGCCTGTGGACCTGGCCATAGAAGACCGTCTCGAGGAAGTTGGCTTTGCGCTTTTGGGGGAAGACAAAGTGCTTGAGGATAGTGCGTGTTCCATCCGGCTCTTCCCGGATGATTATCTGGAGCTTCGTGTTGCGAGGCAAAGGCAGCTGGGAGAAGCCGAAGATCACATTGAGAGGACGTGGACAGGTCATCAAAATTGAAGTCAAGAGGGTGCTTTGTGACGAGCTTCAGCCAGCGCACGCCTGGTGTTGGCCTCCACGCCGCCTGCCTCCGACATGGGGAAGTTGACGTGGTTGAAGATGCCAACTGCGTCTTGCT